GAGCCTGAAGCCAAACAATCTGTCAAAACCTATACTTTGATCCAGGTTCATAAATGCTTAATGATTACTACGTTTAAAAGAGCAGACTGACATCTAGTATTTCAATTACAAAAGCTATTTTAACACAACTTTGTTTTGCAGAAGAATCTGAAATCACACATTTATCTGGAGTGAATTTTTTTTGATCTCAGAAGTTGCCACATGAAAAAAATCTGTTGCTTAATAGACCATTTTATGAGTCAAGTGTGCAAATTTCAAAAGTGCTCAGCTGTATAAAAGGAGGATTTTTGCTGTTTAAACAGACTGCCAGGCAGCTGATTAAAGAAGCCTAGGCTCTGACCCACCAGAACAACTATGCTCGCCTTCAGGCACAGCATCATTTGAAGCCTCTCAAATACTGGAAGGTTTTGCATTCACTGTGAGGCAAACAAGAGAAAACAACCACCCCCCCTTTAATTATTTTGATAGAAATAACCATCATTTAAAATAATAGACAACTTCTTTGAAAGTTATGTCCTGGTAACACATTTAACGTTTAAGGTTGTATTAGTGAAAGGAGAAAGCTTGGAGCAGACAGTTCTTCAAAGATACTATTGTATCTAAACGGGCTGGGACCTTTGCAATAGTAGGAAACAGAAGCATGAAAATATTTCAAGTTGATGTAGCCTGCCTGATATATTAACAGCCCTAATAAGAGTTAAAGAAAAAAACCAACACAGTAATATGAAGCTAATATTGAAAATACTTGTAATAAATCATCATAAGATACAGTTACTATTTCAGAGGAAATGTATGTCAAGCCCTGGCTAAGCCTGACATACTGCCATGCTCTAATAACCTATACAAACCTTTTCTTTGTATTACTGTAAAGCACAAGTAGGTTGTTAAAACAGACTCTAGTACCTACTTGGCAGTTGTTTGCCTCATATTTGGAATCAATTTTGGAGCATACTAGTCCTACCTTCAAAATATAATCAAAAATACTAACTTTGAAGAAGAATCAAAATTAATTGATTTTGCTTCTTAAGCTTTCTGGACATACATCCTCACAAAATTCATGGTATACAAAGAAGTGTTTTAAAGTTTGGGAAGAGACATCACATTGTTCATAGGATCTCAAAACACCAGAAACAAAGCCCAGCTCTGACACTACCTCCGTGACAACTGAACTGATCACCTTACTTTTTACCATAAATCAGTAATACAGTTTATCTGTGAGCAATGGGGAAATCAGATTTGAGTTGGTTGGTTTTTTTCTGATACAACAGTCTCAAAGATTTGGAAGCACAGAGAACACCTCTATGTTGTTAAACTGTTTGGACTCTTCACTTAGGGAATACAGGTATTTTATCCACAAGACTGATTTTGTACCTACAGAAATAAATTTCTCACGTACAGAGCAGCGTTGATCCAAAATTTCAGTTAATGCAAATACCTTTTTCTAAATTAACAACCTCACCCATATGGTGGTATTTTCTGTCACTCATTTCCAGGATTCTAATTCCAAATTTACGCAGCTAATTAAAGCTAAATAAAGGTTTCCTAAGAACCTGTGTATCAGCTGCTGTTCTCTAACCTCCTCTGCTGCTAACCAAAGCACCTTCAGAGGCAGAGACTATGTAAGGCCTCCTTCCATCAGCCCCCCACCCCCACAAACACCCCCCGAGCCTCAAAACAGATCAGAAACAGGAAACCACAAAAATCTCTAAGAACCTGAAGTCAGCCTGTAGCCCAAATAGCTGTATGTGTAAACAAGCCATTGAGAATTCATTTCACAAAACAGATCTAGGCCAGCTCACCAGAAAATAAAAGCCATCTGCAATCACAATATAATAGATCACATTCTACACCATCAAGTTATCTCACGAAGCACACCAATATTAAGAAGTGTTGCACAGAATGGATGGGGGCTCATGTTAACAAACACAAAAGGACTTTCTATACTAACTCTTGTTGGCAATTCTAGGAAGCAGAGAACTGCTTTGGGTGAACACCATAAAAGAAGCCTCACAGAGGTGGCAGTAGATGGGGTGTACAAAGGTGGGACAGCACAGGCAAGACCTGTACACTGAATTCCTGTAGGATTACTAAAGAACTGAACAGAAGTTTTAATACTTTTTTTTTCAGGAAAATGTGCTAAGGAAGTTAATCCTTGCAATTTTTCACTATGAAGAATTATAGAGCATTTGCCAGGTGACATATTTACAGCTTATCTTTTAAGCCAGAAAGCTAGTCTCAACTTCAACCTGTAGTCACAAAACAAGCCAGCTGTTTTCCACAGCACACTTGAGTAGAATCCATCAGTTGTGAAAAATAAGGTTCTAGAGCAAAGAGCGAACTCTGTGAGCAGTGTGTTCAGCCCTTTCAGACACTTCAGTCAGACCTTACTAACTTTCTACAAGCTTACCTGAAAATGAGATGTCAGAAAGGGAAGTGGGGTGGGAGAAAAATCGGCTCCTTCCCCTTTTGCTTCTGTATTACATACACATAATCTAACACAGCCACCTGCAAAAATAGGTTTCCCACTTGAAATACCAGAAACAGTAATTCCTTGGTTTCATACCAGTTCTTCAGGAAGCTCCACTAGGAGGAACTCAAGGATTTTCTCTCTCAAACACAGTGTTTTCTGAAGTGAGTTTTTTTGTTTCTATACTAAAAAGTAATTTCTTGTTTGCATATTTCCTGACACAACAAATGTGCTAGTTCTACAGCAATCCACCCAGCTTTTCTAGCAAAACAAAACCCAAACAAGTTTACGGTTAAAAAACATAAATTACTAAAATATTTCACCTCCTCAGAGATCAAACCTATTTTTACTACTTTGCCAGTGTATTACTTTTCTCATTCTAACCAAGTGATTATGTCCCTGGTTTCATGCTTTCTGCACCAGAATTCCTGCAAGTACTTCAGTAGTCAGCATCCCTTTTTGAAATGTTTCCTGCAATGCTGCCTTCCAACTGATCTACTTTAGGGAAGTGAAATGAGCCCAGGTCTGCAGGGTGCCCCACAATGCCCATACAGCAATCTACTTGCAGAGTTTCAAGAGCTGTATGAAACAGACATTACTTCTAGCACCGGAAGTAACAGAGCAATAACCCAAAGAATAACTTGCCTTAAAAAAACCCAACCTAACCCCACTGTAGATTCACTGTACAGTTGAACATCACTGTTATATCCAGATTATTCTCTGGATTATCTCCTTTCCACTAGCTACCAGCACTTCCTATGTTAGAAATATGAATGCGTATAAAATTGCTCTTCTTAAACTGATACCATTTCTTCACCTTTGAGCACCTTCTCAGTGCCTGGGGTTTTTTTACTATTTTCTATGCCTGCAGCCAGCTTTGGCTAGAGAGTCACAGAAATCTTATCCCATGAGTGGTATGACTAGTCACAGCCTTATGCCAAAAACCCAAGAGAAGAGAGTATTAGGTAGACAGACATGTAGGGAACACCTCTCAAGTCTGTCTGAAAGTTTTATACCTACAAATAACTACAAGCAGAACCCTTACCATAGCCCGGTCTAATTCCTAGCATAGATGCAGAACAAAGTTCTTTGAAAAGTGCAGTTTCTACTAGTTCCACAGAGGAAAAAAAGAAGCTGGCAGTTTTGTTCAGAAATATTCACAACTATACTGTAATTTTTATCTAGACAGAAACACTGGTGAAATCTAATAATCACAAGAGCAGCTAAGCTTTCTAGCGAAGATGTTGCTGAAAACGGCCATCCACATGAGACCCAACATGCATATAAGGAAGCCACTACCAGCAAACAACTGAGACCACACTGACACCTGCAAATAAAGCAGCACTAAAGTTGTTCCCTTTTTAAAAGTACAGGTTTTCCCTTTGGACCATGCCTTCAGAAAGTAGCAGAATGTTTCAGGAACTGCCCCCACAAATACAAACACAAAAAAGAAAATAACTGTTTTGGCAGAGGAATGCAGGAATATTCCTTTCAAAGCTGTGCTCTATATTCTCCCCTCGCCCTGCAGTGTTTTGCATTTATAGCAGAATGATCATAGAACTCACTGATGTCACTAATAATCGCAACACACATGCATTAATAGTAACTTGCTCAGAACATCAGAAATACTGGCTTTCCCATATCTGATATCATCTCAACTACAAAAAGGTTGGCTGCATCAGTCCACCTCTATGTGCTACTGCCAGTCAGTACACTCACCTGGCCACAGAAATATTAAACAGGATGGAAGAGAGGGAATTCAAAATAAGTTATGCTAATAAAACATTTTAGCTTTAACAAAACCGATTGTCACCTTTGTTCTTTGTTCATTCTCTCTCCGTACATTTCTCTTACAGACAGGGACCTAAGGTGTACATAGAAAAGGAATAGAACTGCAAGTATTTTGGAGAGGCAACAATCGAGGACAGAAGCACAAGGGAAGCATACTCCCTGTTTAAGAGTCCCGAGTAAACACAAGTCATCTCTGACCCTGAGAAGCAGCCATGTGGAGCTCTAACAAGTGGCAAGATAGAAAAACTAATTCCTTTAACAATCAAACATTGCTTTAGTTCATAATCCTCAATGCAGTATTCTGTGTTCTCCCCAGCAGGGATATTCCACAGAATCACTCCCATCTTCAGCCAACAAATATGATTCTGTGTAACACCCTGATGAAACAAGCACTGAGCATGAAGAGGAGCACACACTGGAACAGGGCATTCAACACAGCTATGCCAGTCTCCACGGAGAAGAACCTCCTCAGCCAATTCCAACCGACTGAAAAGTTTTAAGTGCTGCACAGTGGAGCTTGGCAGCTTGCGAGTGACAGCAAGAATACGAGACCCAAAAGCACATGTACGAGAAACGGATCGCTGCGAGTTAGTTACACGGGTATCAATGAAAGTTGGCAGTTATTTTTGTAAAAAACCCACATTCTTTTCATAAGGGAATTTCTACACTAACTAAACAGTATGATCTACAAAGTAAACCACGATTTACTACTACTATTTACTAAAAAACGATTTACGATTACCAATTCGGTGTACCGGCTACAGCTCCGTCCTGCATTAGTCAGTGCTCACAACGCGTCAGTTTTAGCCTGTCAGACTCGCGTAAACAACCGTGCTCGAAACGGTCCTGTTGCGACCCTCACGGTCTTCCTCACGCGTTTGTTTCTACTACGAAGGAACTCGAGCAACGGGGTGGCTCCCCCCGGAAACAACGCCGGCTCTCCGGTGGGAGACGGCCCGGCAAAGCCACGCCAACGCCCGGCACCCGGAACCGAGGACGAAGCTCCGCCAGAGGCCGCGGGCCGGCTGCTGCAGCCTCGTCCCCAGCCCCGCTTCCTCCCGCGGACAGGCCGGGCGCGCTGCTCTCACCTCCAGGCCCTGCCGGCGCCTTGGGCGGAACCGGGGCCCTCCCGCGAGGCCCACGGAGAACCAGGACGCGGGGGAGGGGCGGGTAGAACGAGGACCGGGAGCAGGAGCTCCGAGCCCGGCTCCGAGGTGGGCAGCGCTCGCCCGGCCGCCCCGCTTGTCCGAGCGGTCTGCGAAACACTGCCGTACCCCCGCCGCCCGGCAGCGTGTACGGAACGGGCGGCCGCCGCCGAACGGGCCGGCCCCGGCGCCCACGGCCTACTTCTCCGCTCGGCGCCCCGCGGCCGCCAGCACCTGGCGCGCCGACCCCGAGCCCGCACTCACCAGGGAGCTGCTGGTGCTGGCCATGGGCCCGCCGGCCGGCGCGGCCGCGCTCCCCTCGCGCCTCAGGACCCCGGCGCACGGCCGCCAGGAGCGAGCCAATGGGGCGCCCGCATCCCCCGCCCGTGACGTCACCCACAACAATACCCCGCTCCCCCCCCGCCGCCGCCGCGGGCAGGACTTCCGCTCGGCGCGGCCGCTCATTGGCGGCGCCACCCGCAACTCACGTGCGCGCCCGGAAAAGACGTTCTCCGCGAGGCTCAGCGCGCCTGGCTCTGTGAGCATGCGCAGTCGCGTCAGTGAAGCTGCGGCCCCGGTGCCCTCAGGAGCGGCGCGGGTGAGGGCGGAAGCGGCTGCCCGGCCTCCCCGCCACCACCGCGCGCTCACATCCGGCTTTATGCCACACGACGCGAGGGAGCGCTGGGAGTGGTGACGTGGTGACGTCATAGAGCGGGGGGACAGCAGTGGGGTGGCCGCAGCTGCGAGTGCGTCGCCAGCGCCGTTCCCTGCCCGCTGGTGGGGGGAAAGCGCGTTCCGTGTGCGCTGAGCAGGAGCTCTCCCGCCCTAGCGCGGTGTCAGCACCAGCCGGTCCTTGCGGGGCGCTGAGCCCTCGCCCCGGCGGTGCGTCCTGCCGGAGGTGCAGGGGTCGGCCGGGCCGGTGCTGACCACCCCGCGGCCACGGCTGCGCTGGCGGGGCGGGCCTTTGGCGCACAGTGCCCTGCAGCAGCGCGGTCGGGTTTCCCGGCGGTTACTGAGCTGTAGCGGTTTGCTCAGGAGGTCGGTTCAGGAAGGACCGCCCAGGGCACTGCCCCGTAGCGCAATCCGCAGGACAGCTTCACCGTCAGCTGGGCTGGGGGCGGAGGGCTGGCGCAGTGCCCTGGAGCTGAGCTGCTTTCCATGGGGAGATTTCTGCCATAGTCAGCCTTAATCAGCTTTCCTGTGCGAGTTTCTCATCTTCAGCAGACAAGTAGAACTTCTGATCAGAATCCCATAATAGGTTGTGGGGGAAGTGTTTTTAAGTATACCTCTGCTTGTGTTCAGGCTGTATCCCAGTTCTCTCTCACGGGCAGTGTTTTCTTCCCTGGATTCTTTCTAACTGATTTGCATCTTCCTGAAGATATTATGCCTAGGCTTGGATATACTGTTCAACTGCAGCCTCATTTGTTACAAGTAGAATGAAATAAGTACTTGCTACCATTTCCAGATTACCTGACTCATTATGAGCTATAATAGTATTTGTGTGCAATAACATTTCACTAGTAACTCATTATTTGTATCATGGTTCACTGCAGCTCTCACATCCTATTTCAATGTGTTGCTAAAATCCTTCCCAGAACAAATCTTGTACGTGTATACTTTCATCGCCAAAATTACTGAATCAGACCGAGATTGCGTTAGGATAGACTCCTGGAGCACCACTTGAGATGCCATATCAGTTAATGGGGAACTGTTAATGATTAGATTCAAATGTGTTTTCAAGCAGTGTAATCATTCATTCATAAATCCACATGGTATCATTTAGGCCAAGTGGTGTCCTCACTATTCCTCTAAAATGGCATACAAAATCTCACCAGTGTGAAAGTGTGTAGGATCTCCTTCTTTGCCAGCAGCAGCAGCTAAACTCTCGTCATCGACAGAAGTGGATGAAGCACTTTTTAATCCTCTAGATTGTTAAGAAAAATATTTTTTAGTAACTTCTTCCAGAATCCTTTTAAAGGCAGAAGTTTGGCTGCTTGAGTTCATGTTTTGGGCCCTATTTTGCCTGCATTTAAAGATGACACTGTTTCAGAGGTCTCTAGATTTCTTTTTCTGCATGACTTCTCAGAAGTAACTTTCAGCATTGCAGAGGTTAGTTTGTGATATAAGGAAGAACTCCTTTCCTAGAGGAAATACGTGTCGTCTTGGGTAAGACAGTATTGAGAGGTGAACTCCATCTCCCCTGCACTGCTGAGTGATTGCAGTGGTGGTTTTTTAAGTATCTTTGCTATACCCCTGATGACAGACATTTAATTACCAAGCTGAGGGAAAACATGGTATTAATGTAATGGATTAGTGTGGAGCACTGAGACCATTCTGGAAAGGCTTGTGGGCTCTTGGTGCTGCCCTTCCTGGGCAGGGGGCAGTGCATCAGGCACAGTGCCAGCACTGGCACCGCAGCAAATATGCATTTCTGCATGTAAAAGTGTGTCACAAAGAAGTCTTAGCTTAGTGAGCTGTCCACATGGATGCCCCAGTTCCCTTCTTTAGTGCTTTATTTAGACTTGCCTATGGCTTACAACTTTGCCAGCATTTGGCAGTCGGTGTTGGTAGCACAAAAGAGAGTTTATTACTTGACTTTGCACTGTAATGACTGTTACTTCTGCCCTCTGGCACTGCCAGTATCAGGCTGCATGTGAATCAGTGTGGCTCAAAAGTCCATATTGTGTTGGGCCTGCAGTACCATATAAATATACTACTTCTAGACAAAGACAAATGTGGCATAATACTGGGCTGTGGTATCAGAGCTGATGCTGTCACAGCAGATTCTGTGCTGCACTCCAGTATGCACTGAAAATAGGAAGTGTGTTGATTAAATCAATCTGTTCACCAGCCCTAAAGTGATAAGATTTGACACGGGGGTTTGGGATTTTGTCAATTAACTTGGCTCCATGAGCAGCAAGGAAGAAGCAGTCCAAGTGCTGTAGTTTTGTGTCGCAACTTAATCCTTGGCTTGCATGTTGTTAAAAACAAACAACCCTTCTGTGTGTTCATTCCCTTTCCTAGCATTAAAAATAACATCCCCTCCGCCTTTCCAGTTACAATCAGCAGTACATAAATACACATGTTGTCAAATGGTATGGTTCTTGCTGTAGAACTGATGGTTAAGATCTCTGCGCTTGATTAGTGCTTCAGTCTTCAGAACTGCTGCGCCTTGAGCAGGAACAGATCTGCAGATTAGATTAAATTAGTGAAGATTAAACAGACTATTTTTAATTTCTGGTGCTTTTACTGGCAAGCTGAGTGAACATGTGGATGGCTGTGAAAGAGCATACACTGTGCTGAGGGGTTCTGGGAGACTCAAGGGACTATGCTTGTCTGGAAAGGCCTGTGGTGACAAAGGCTTCTGCAGCACAGGATTCGTGACTCAAAGAAGCACAGCAATACAGAGAAGATGGAGTAAAAGGGCTGTGGCACTGGAAATGGCAGAGTTCACACTGGCAGTTGGTAAGATGGTGCTGCTCCGAGTCTAACCAGCATTCCCTGTACTTTGTTTAGACAATGATCAAATTTAACAGAAGTAAACTAAAAAGAGCAAACTTGTCTCTCTGGACTCTGGAATTACTTTCCTCCTGTCTGCTTACTTAACAAGAGAATGATTTGTGGGTTTATTTGGACCTTGACTAATGGCAGTCTCTGGAAAAAAGGTTGCTTTCACAGGCTCAGCTTCTGCACTTTGGAGCAGGAGTCTGCAGATCAGTGATCTTGTTTCAGCATGCCAAGCACCACTACTTGAGCTTTGCTTAATGCATTAAAAGCCACACTGTGAAGACAAGTCCACAGGTTGAGTGCTGTGTCTTAGTATTTGTGATTTGTTTGCTTCTCTTTCAAAATGAGTTTGTGTCAGTGCTGTGATACCTACACTGTTGACAAACATGCAGTCTCAGCTTCTCACACCTCTTGAAATGACTAAACAGCAGAATGTCTGACACATAACAGCTGCTATCACTCATTACTGGGAACACCAATACTTCCGTAGCCATTGGGTGGGCACTAGCAGAACTGTGCTGATGTTCACATGTTAGAGACATGGGATTGCTCACCATGCTGGTCCCCCTTGGCTTTATGAGCTGTAAAATACATTTTCAATCAGGGACCTTCTTACCCCTCTTTCTGTTGGTGGTGACAGCAGCAGGACTGGCTTAGTGCTTTGGTCTGCAAACAAGGGAGAAGAGTATGTCCCTCTTCTACAATGTTTTCAAACCAACTTTTACTAATACTTACATAGCCAATGCTTTCTAAAGTTCTTCAAAAACTCTTGGACACGAACTTCTGAGAAATCAAAGTTTGCATCAGTTCCTTTATTCTGAATAATTGCACAGTGTTAGTTCTCAAAAACACCCCTCCCCCCCCCCCCCCAAACTCCCAACTAAATGAAAGTCTTTAGCACAGGTCATTTTCAAGTCCTGAGTAGCTTACAGGCATTACTTAAATATCTTCCGAAATTGTTTCCCGTGGCAAAACTCAACAGGAAGAAAAAAAAAGGGGAAGGTACTGGCCACTTTGTTCTGGTTGCAGACAAATCACGTTGCACGCACTCAGTAGTCCCAGGAAATGAAAGGCTTCAAAGGCTTGGCCAGAGCCCACATTTCTAGATGGTAGTTCTCTGTCTTCTACTAGACAGATGCGTATCGCACTTACAGGCAAACATTCATCCTTAGAATAGCTCAGAGATTCTGGGAGAAGCTGTGAAAAACCAGCTTCTGGTTTTTCAGGTATCAGAAGAGCCTTTTGCTTACCACTCCAGAAACAAATCAGTGCTGGCACCTCCTGTGGCTGTCACACAAGCTGGATGTGCACTCCTCATTCTGTTGCTGCTTCTCTCTGAGATGAAGACTTTCCACAACAGTTCTCTGGCCTAGCACATGTCTTTGGGAAGGGTGTCTCAATCTGCTTACTGATAACTGAAACTTTTCATTGTCAGAATTAATCAGTGCTAACAGTCACCAGAGTCAAGGGAAGCACTCCCCAAAGAGGAAGGAATGAATGTGTGTGACTGTATGTATGCATGTGCCAGTTAGTGTAGTTGCATCTGTAAATTTCTTAGTATGCTTGCTAAAACTCCTGAGCCCTTTAAGCCTAGGAGATGTAACTAAGACTTCAGGAACCTGCTTGTTGGGCAGTCAATCACATCTAGGATTTTCTGTGTCTAGGGTAGAAGGTAAACCTCCAGAGGTTCATCTCAGAAAGGCTGTTCGTTTGAGCAGATAGGCAAAGAACTCATCAGTTCTGGAGAAATAATAAAAGCCCTGGAGAGGCAGTTGCCCTGGCCTGCTTTTTGATTAAATAAAGCTCGTTCATTCTATTCTTGCTTTTCACCTTTCTTCAGTAGATCAGGTCAGACACTTAACCTTGGAATAAATAGCTGTTAAAATCAAAGCACTATATGGGGCTTAGTTACTGCACAATAGAAAGTTAGAGCCATTCAGAGTAATAAAGAACAAGGCCACTGCCTGATTAAATAGAGCAATTATGAATTCTGAAGAAATTGGGAACCATTTGAAGTCATCAATATCATATTAAGAAGCAAATATTAAAAAGCAAAATTACCCTTTTAAGCAAAAATTGTTTATGTTTTTTACTCCTTTATAAAATAACGATGGAGCTTAAGTCGTGGTTCAGCACATTACAAGTATTGCTGCTTCTGAGAGGTGCCCAATCCCAATAGCTCTTCCTGAGGCAAAACAGCAGGTCTGCTGCTGCTTCCTTAGCCAGAGCATTGCTGGACTTCTGCTGCTGACAGGTGGTTAATTTAGATAAGAGTATGGTCATATGTGCCCTGAAGACAGCAGGTACTGCTGGAGTCAGGCCTTGTGATGCCTGTAGGAGTAGTATCTGCTAGCCAGAGGAGTTGTCACAATCTTCTTTTGAAGTACAGAAATTGAGAATTTACCTAAAAATGATACATGTTTGTAATTGTCTGCACGGTCACTATTTAAGCCACTTGGAAAGACAGTGCTGGGAGGTGAGAGGACAGCACAAAGATCTTTGTAGACAGTATACCTCAGGGAAGGTCACTCTGATCATTCTGATTGAGAAGACTATTGCCATTGGAGAGCTTCAGTAGTTCAGCAGGAATCAAACCTCCTGTGGTATGATTGTCGCATAAGGTACAATAGTCACTACTGCTGAAAGACACATTTGCTATCTCTAAAGATTCCTGAAGCATAAGGAAGTCGCCCTTTCCATGCTGTGGGTGAGAGGAAGAATTCCTTCCCGTGCTGGGGCTCTCAAGGTTGGTGTTAAGTTTTTCAGAGATTTTCAGGCCAACTGTATCATCACCACGGGCTTGTGCAAACAGTAGTCCCAGCCTCACTTCTGTCTCTTCTGCTCTTACATACCTGCTGGGGACGTACTGCTGGCTTGGAACTGAGGCAAATACTAAGCTTTCTTCTGCAGCAGCCAGATTCGTGCTTTCCATAGGTTTCAAGGAAAAAATCTGGGAAATCTGTTCTTGGGTGTTCAGATCAGAAACATCATCTGCAGTCACTTTCTTTGAGTTGCTGGCCTCTTCTCTTCTGAGCTGGCTACAAGCCTCACTAGGTCCAACCCAGTCCTAGGGAAAGGATCAGTAAGTTCAGCACATTTTGCTTAGAGTTGGAACTTGCAAAATAACTGTTCTTTCTATATGGCTTTGGCACAATAATGCAGAGGTTTAGTGCAGATCTACTGGGCAAACAGAGTAATAGGGTAGAGAATCTAGCTGCTAATGTCACAAGAAGTTTTCAAGTTTTCACCTCCGGAATGTACTGCAAGCTGCTCATGTTGCTTTGGCTTTGCAAAGACTGTGTGCACTGCTCCTGTTCAGCATGGGTAGGAGTGACTGACTAGAGGGAGCTTATTTCTAAGGAGAGAGAAGCTGGATAGAAGCTTTGGTGGTGTCACTAGTGTGTGGAGGCAGGACACTGAGAAACTGTAAAGCTTCAGAAAGACTAGAACCATGTCAGTAACTGCTCAGGAGCTAGAATGATTAATCCCCAAGAACAGAAAAGAAAAAAGAAGTGCTTTCCTCATGAATTGAGGATCATAAGAAAGAATTGAAACTTATCTCTTACCTTAAAATTCCCATTGTGCAAATTATAGAGAGGCTGAAAGAAAGCAGCTGGTGTGGGAATGTTGAAGCAGGAGAGGTCTTTTGCCCTGAAGTGAGAAAACAGCACTTCAAATTATAAAAAGCAGAACACAGCAACAGTTTTCCTGGGTTCTGTCTCGATGCTGTAGCACTGTTAGACGAGAGCTCCACACTTACATTATAAAAATTGCACAAGAAGTCCATTTCACAAGGTTTCTGACATCTCCTGCAAGTGTTTGACTCCTGTGCATGTATTTAATGTTTCTAGCCTGAAGCACAGTCATAAACATTCTGAGGAATGCTATATGCTGCAAACTCGGTACTAGTCTATTACTTATTATATGACTAAGCATTTGTTTAGCATATATTATATGACTATGCATTTGTTTAGCACCCAACTTGATCTAAAACAGCATCTCTGGAATTGTTTTAGAGCATTCTAGTTTCATTACGTTTAGACAGAGCAATTCTGCCAGACATCCTAGTCCCTTAATGAGAGTCTATCCTGTAAAAGTATTTTACTATACAGGCATCATGAGTTCTGTTTCTCTAAGTGTGATGTGTAGGTAGCAGAATAATCTGTGTCAAGGCAGCAAAGGAAGAGGTAGGAGATTCACCTTTGCTCTTCCAGCACAAAAAATTGCAGAGGATAATTGAACCAAAGTTCTAGAGACACTTTTGTCTCTGTACAATTTGGTCCCCAAACCTAAGGAGTACTGAATAGGAGTCAGTTCAGTTTGCTTGTATCAGTATTTTGCATACTGACTACTGCCAGCTATGTCACCAGTAGCTTAACTTTTGAAAGTAGTTTAACCACCCTCATGGATTGCTGTGTATTTGCACTTTTATCTACATGAAAACAAGTAATTTCCATGGGTTTAAATTTCTTTAACTCCAAGACAAAGAGACCCTCAACCTGGAGGTTTAGTTGAGTTTGGGTGCCACAGAGGCACTTTGTTCTTTGTAAGGATTGTGTAGTTGGTCATTAACAATCATCAGCCAAGGAACATGTCATATCCCAAGACTGTCAGAAGTACTTTTGAAAATGATTGAGTCTGTGCAGCACAAACAGGAAGCAAGAAGCGTATAAGGACACCTGATTTACCTTCTTCAGGCTGTGCAGGTCAAGGGGAACTTACTGAAGAACTACAACATACCTTGAAGAAAGCTTGCAGTTCCAAAATAAATACAGCAGCATGCCGAAACTCAGAGGAATGAACAAGAACTGCACAGTTCTGGTATTTAGGATCTTTTCAGGTAGTTCTAGAAGAATCAACACAAAAACATTGGCTAAAAAGTCTGGGAGCCAAGACTGAACCCCAAATAACCAAGCAATGCAAATGAAACAGGCTGCTAAAGGCAGCTAGTTTGGATTTGAAAAGCTTCATTTTACCAGGTATCTTCCTTTTTTGAGCATGAGTTCATGAGAAGACATGAATTAAAGTAAAAGCAACATTCTTTGTACCTGCTCTTTGAAACACTGTTGTCTGGCTCCACTCGCTCCACTGACTATGGTACGAATCCTCATTCTCAGAAACCTTGCACCGAACTCGTGCAGCGTAAGCAACGCCACTGCGGAGCTCGGCGGCTTCAATTTCAACCTGGGGCAGTGAACTGGGGGGCGTCTTGTTCAGTGCAATCTGCAAAGCAGTGCAAAGAATTTCTGTAAAGGAGGCTGGGCATGGGATGGTCTTTTAAATACTCTTCCCCTCCCCTCCTTTTCCAAATCTTTTCTCAGGTGCAAGAAGAGGGCCTGTGTGATGACGGGTGACTTCTGAATGCAGGTCCAGGAGAAGATTTACTGACCTTAAGTATTGATGGTTTACATAAAATCTTTCAGCAGTGATGTGGGAAAACAGGCCAGCTTAGAACAGCCAGCTGCCAGGAGGCCCAGAGAGCAAGGCAGTATCAGTGTGTGCTTCATTCAGTTACCTCCCAGGACTTGCTGTACTCCTTATACTGCAACTCATACTGGAGAATTTCGACGAGGTACCAAGGCACACTCCACCATATCTGACACTTGCTGGCAGTGGCATTGCTCTGGATGTTCAAAGGGGGGTCAAGTTTTACTGCAAATAGAGAGGTAGGGTTTTTCACACTATTTGGGACATGAACACCACAGACAGAAATGCGTGATACTAGGCTGAATGAAGTCTTGGAAGATAAACCTGGGTCTAATGAGTTATATTAAGACCAGCAGTAGACCAAATTAGCTTACAGGGTAGGCCAGAACAACTACAGAATGGACATAAATCAATGATAAATCAAATAGCCCCCAGGGATAATCCTGCAAGCAAAGAGCCACCTGGATGTCACATTCTGCTCGTCCAGCATACCCCTAATACAGACAGGAACTGAGATCTCAGATCCTAGAGCATTTCTCTGAGGTACCAGGCCATGGGACATCGAACTAGATCCGTGACTTCGATTCCTCGTGGCTTCATTTCTTAGGAAAAAACCCCACAGCTACAGAGGCAATCCAATTGGGCATCACCATGGCACAAGAAAACATGATGCAAATAAGAAGTACAGTTGAAAGGTACTCCAGGGCCAGCTCTCTCTGAAATCCTGGAAAAGTCAGAATGGAGAGACACTGGGACAGCATCCTTAATGATGAAGTCCACATAGTACATTTTCCAGGGATGAGCAGTCTGGCCTGTTTCCATTATTTTCATTTTGTACTCCAAAGCTGAAGGCAGAGCCTCAACCCACAGCTGCCCTTCTTCATACTTACTGTGCTCACGGGGACTGTACTCTGGAAAGATGATGTACGTGTCATTGCGTCCAAAGAAGTTGCCTTGGAGAGCAACTCTATAACCATCTGTTTCCAAGATCTGGCTGGCTAAATGGATAGTGCAGTAGTACTGGTTCTGCATGCTTTCTCTGGCAGTAAGTCTGCAGCTGGCGTTGTGGCCCTTTGACCAGAGGCTAGAAGAATAAAAGGGCTGAAAGTTTCTTTTAAGTTGTATGATTAAGTGCTTTTCAGTTTATGAAAGATGGGTAGCAGTTTAGCACAGCACCGCGTTCCGGAAGAACACGAACCTCTTCAGTGCAGCCAGCAGAGAAAGCAGTGCTAAAGCTGGCTGGATGGCAGAGCTGAAAAGGGTGGAGGGAACCAGGTTCATAACCTCACTGCTGAGGGCACCGCACCTCCCAGGAGCTACACGTGCAACCCAGTACCTGCCCCCTGCTTCCTCCTGGGAGTGAGAAGGCTGCTGCATGTTGCTGCCAGGAAAGCAGCTGGTACAAAGGGGTTAAAACGGGTGGACAGCTGGTTACAAGCACACAGCACAGAGCTAACAAGTTGTACATTGAAGCCTCTTTCACTCTGAACAAACCGCTGCTGACAGCAGAACACCTCAGAGGTTGGTTTCTTGGTGGTTTGTTCTTTTTTTTTTCTTTCAGCGCTGTTTTTGCTTGTATGAAGGGTTTTTTAATATTCACAAGCTCCAGCACAGCATAACAGATGAATGACGGAAAATATCACCTTGGGGAAATGGCTCCAAAGAACAGTCTCATGTTATTAACTTGTCTAATGCAGCCATTTATCAGCAGATTTGTCGTGCTGCACGTGACCCCACAGTGAACTGGGACACCACAGTTTATCAGCTTGGCTTTTGTTCATAAATTTAAAATCTACTGTAGTTAAGAGTTAGGCTGGTTGTGACTTAACTTTACCAGAATATATGAGGCCTCTAATGGCAGCATGGCTTCCCCTCATGCAATACTAGCCACTGGGAGTTAAGATAACATGCTTACACAATCAAAACTCATTCATCTCAGATTAGCACATCACAGTGCTTATTACCCTATCACCTAGGAAGCCGCTCACCTGATTTCTTCTATTAGAGGAAAAAGTATTCACATAGTATTCTAAATCTGTTACTATAACTCACTAGACTTTCAAAATCCTTTTGCATATATATTAAATCATTTAGATTAAACCCCTAGGGGTTTAATTTCTAGGCAACAATACAAGAAGCAGTTAGAAATTGATTAGGCAGCATCATGTGGGATGGGTTTTGGAAGTGCCCTGATCATGGGGAGCAGAGCCTGGGCTGGGGGACTCTCTGTGCTGAGAGGGGCTGAGCAGATGGATGGGCTGAACCTCTGCTGCATGCGTGCAGCCAATTGTGCTGAACCTCTGCTGCATGCGTGCAGCCAACTGTGCTGAACCTCTGCTGCATGCGTGCAGCCAACTGTGCTGAACCTCTGCTGCATGCGTGCAGCCAACTGTGCTGAACCTCTGCTGCACCCTCCAAGGCAGTGGGACCACAAAAAAAGAGCAGCTTCCAAGGAAGCCACAAGTCTCCTGCTGTGGAGCGAGCAAAGCCCACAGACGGCCCTATCTTTGCTCTTCTTGCCCATGCCAGGGCTGTGGCTGCCATAGCAGCTCTTGGTGCTGTGCTGGTTTTGGCAGGGACAGAATTAATTTTCTTTACAATAGCTGGCATGGAGCTGTGTTTGAATTGGTGCTGAAAACAGTACTGATAACACAGGGATGTTTCAGTTACTGCTGACAGAGCTTATACAGCATCAAGGCTTTTTCTGCTCCTCACCCCACTGCATCAGTGAGCAGGCTGAGGGTGCACAAGGGGTTGGGAGAGGACAGATCTAAGACAGCTGGCCACAACTGACCCCAGGGAGATTCCAGACCATAGGACATCATGCTCAGCATGTAACACTGGGGGAATAAGGAGGAAGTGGGGGAACGTTTGAAGCTATGGTGTTTTCCTTCTCAAGTAACTGTTATGCATGATGAAGCCCTGCTTTCCTAGACATGGCTGCCCACCTGCCTGCAGAGGGAAGGGGTGAATGAATTCCTTGCTTTGCTTGTGCTCACAGCTTTTGCATTACCCATTAAACTGTCTTAAGCTCAGCCCATGAGTTTTCTCACTTTTACGCTTCTGATTCTCGCCCCATTGCGCTGGGGGGGGGGGGGGGTTGGTGCTGGCTTGTGGCTGGGGTTCAACCATGACAGGCTCTTACTTGGTGAAATGCAGGTGGAAAGGTCCCTCTCCCATGGGCTCCTCCATTTCCCACGTGCAGCTCACGGTAGTCACATAGTTATTCAGGCAGCTCAGGCTGCCCTGGAGCTCTGCAGAGGAAGGAGACCAGAGCTGCGTTTGTACATCACCTGACAAGGCCTTGCTTGGTATGTCAAATAAATGCATTTGTTTCTAGTGCTTCCTTTAGTGATACCTCATCTGTCCTTCCTCATGATGCCCCTTCTATTGCACCACACTTCACTGCATGAGATGAGTGTAAGATCTTACGGAAGGGACCTTGGGCACTGGCTAAGATTTTTCTGCTGCACAGCTTGTCCAGTATGTGCTGGGTTCCCCAGGCCTGGCATTACCAGCTGGTACTGGTTCCTGGGACTGGGGAAAGGGCAGTCACAGGATCTTGTGTTGCATACTCTGGGGTCTGTGAATGAAAGATGAGCACATGCATGTGCCCCTTCCCACAGTGGACCTATTCCAGATCTCTTACCTCTCCCTCTTCCTCCACCAAAGAGCAGCACAGAAGCAATGCACAGCTGGAGACACAATTGCCACACATCTCCTCCCATTCCAGACAGTATCTAAAATAGAACAGCCATCAGAAGGAGTTTTGTCAGTATTCATACCAGCAGGTTGAGTATCTGCTGCTGCCAGCCCTGACACAAGCTGACCTTGGGTCTGTCGGACAGGGCACCAACTCAGTTACACAATTTCTTCATTTGCCAGGGGTTATGATCCCTCTTTCAGAAGAAGCTGCAGAAAAGGAGAGAGAAGTGTCAGGGAAGGAGAAAACCCTAAGTTCGGCATTGCCACAAGACCAGATGAGTACAGCCTGGCTATAGAATATGAACGTAGTTTTTAACCAACAAAGGGTCTGAAGCAGTCTAGAATAGGTGTGAGTGAGAAGGAGCCTACGCTTAGCAAGGACTGCAGTATTTTAATCATTAGGACTGCTTTACTGAAGAGATTAAATGAAAATCTGATGGCTACAGTAGCAGGAAATACTCTCAGTTCCAGATTTCACAGAGCATCCCCATCTCAACTTCTTTCCTGGAATTATGCCTGCTTAGAGTGTCCCTTCTCTGAATTAATAGTAAAATAATCACAATGTTTCAGAATCTTGCTGGCTTCCACTTCAGCACCTCTTCATTCATGGGGTTTTCATAAATATCCTGTTTTGCTGCAGACCTTCAGAGTGGGGGTTGTTGAGAGGAAGCATCACCATTAGCTGATTTTAGCTGAGGGAGGCTGGGAGGCATGAAGGCTCTCCTGCTTATCGTTCTAATCAGGGTTGTGTACGATCCCTGTGATAAACGCAGTAAGACTGACTAAATATGAAATAGAGAGAGCTGCATTAAATAGAATTATATATGTGCTTACAAGAACTTGTTCAGGCACACAAACAAATAAATCTAAGTGAAGACAACTAAACCAGGACAGACACTTTCCAGGTAGTTGCTGCTAATTTGATATCTCCTCTCCCCCACAGAAGTTCTTTATTCAGTTCTGCAATGTTTGAAACATGCTGGACATTTCCTGGCTCTCTAATTCACCTGGAAACAAATGAGCATGTTTAAATGCAAGTTTTTGTGTTAGTCATGAATGTGTCATAAATAGGTCATGGACCATGGAATTCTGAAAGGCTTTATCAGAACATTCTTTTGGGAAATAGCACATAACCAGCTGAAAAAGCTCCTGCAGTACATCCATGCCATTGGAGGGGCCAACACACAGCCTGTGGATGAAGATCGATTAGCAGAAATGTTACCACAGGTACACACAGCATTCATAACAGCATTATTAGTTCATCCCTTCTGTTGGGATCCACACTTCTGACAAAAAGTTGCTGTAAAGATGAAAAAAGTTCTGGAAAAGGCTGTAAGAATGATTGAATCCTGGGTAACTCCTCAGAAATGAAGAGCTAAAATGTCTTTAAGTTAATCAAAGGAAAGGCTGAGTAGTAACTTCACCCAGCCACAAGTACCTTTCATGGGAAAAACATTTCAGATATGAGAAAAGTTCTGGAGTTGGTTTTTTGGTGGTGTTCTTGTTTGGGTGAGTTTGGTTTTTCCTTTCAATCGCCTAGAGATGGAAAGAATCCAATAGTTGGATACTGAAGGTAGATACAGCTAAACTGAAACAAAGTGCAGAATTTGGACAAAGGGGAAGTACCTTTATTGCTGGAACCTTTTGCTTTCAGATATGGCCCAAGACCTGTTGTCTAGAAATCTTTGCTAGAGCTCTTAAATAAATCTATTAAATCCTCAGCTCAGATGCTGCAGCAAGGGCACAACTGCAACACCTGGGGACTGGGACAAACTGTCTTCCTAGCCAGGATTGCCTGATGCTATTTTTTGTTCTAATGCCCAGTTTCTGCAACACTGCTGAGGTGTGGGGGAAGGCAGAAAAGCCCTGTGAAAAATGTAGGTGTGGGAAAGGAAGGGAAAAGAACCATCTTCACTCTGCAGAGCCCTGGGAGAGAGCCCTGAAATGATACTCCAGCTATGCAGCCACCAGTGCAAGACTGGCTCAGTACCAGAAGCTGACTGGTGACTCCAAGTTCCCGGTGGTCTCAAGCTGGTTGCAATGGTGTTTCTGTTCTTTCTGCATATTTCCAGGGCAGAGTTGTTCTACCTGTTACTTGCTCCAGGACATGAGGCCTTGCAGCCATGCCTCTCCCCTCCTCACTTACGGTTCCATCAGCTGTCCCAATTTCCAAAAAGTGTTTTCAAGTAATTTTAACCAAAATCTGTACAACACAGATTTTCCAAATGCTCTTATCTGCTTATCAACAGGAAAGGGGATCAAATGTTATTGCTGTGCTTGGTTGTAATACCAGAGAAGCACAAAGTTCTGGCTAACCCCGATGTTAGTGGTCCAGTAGAACACACAGTAAAAATATGAACTTTGACTTTAAGAACTTACAGAGTAAAATAAATTCTTTGACAGACACCACTGGGAGGGGAAGTAATACAAGAAGGTGATGGCAGTCTCAGCATGTGGGTAGCCTAGATATCACCTGGGGTTTAAAGCTCTGCTTTGCTGAGTTGCTAAGGAGAGACTTAGGAATGAGGTTGAGGTAGCCCAAGAGAACTGTAGACAACAGGAGTTGATTTGATGATCATAGGAAGAGTTGAGCTCCTGGTATGGAAGTAGGAGATGACAAGTGGACAGGGAAAAGCTGTCAATGACTTTGAAAGTGGGAAGAAGAAGCTTACATTTGATGTGAAGAATTGTGTAGAAAACATAATGAGTTCAAAGTGACGGACCTTTGGATGAATACAAGACAAGATCAGCTTTACAAACACCTGATAAAACATGAAATTGAAATGTCATGCAAGAGCAAGGATTTCTCATGGACATGTGTGCATAAGATTCTCCAACATGCTCAGGTACCCTTTGATACATGTAATGATATGCCAGCACCCAGCAGACAGCCAGGACTGCTAGGTTCTATCTCACCTCTGCCATCAACTTTTATAGAGAGTAGATAGTTTTGTCAGTGCAATTTTTCTTGTTACAGCTCATTTGTGTGGTCTGACTCGCACCCATGAAGTAAAAGAGCAGCAGGCAATAGTGTGTCTACCAGCAGGCACATCCCTCCACCCACTAAGGTTAGCCCCAAGTGCAGATTCTCCAGAGTGATCCATTGTGCTACCAAGTGTGATTGTTCATCAAGGGCACTCTTTCACTCATCCCTGCTTACAGGAGAATACTTCATAGGCTCTTTAAGAAGAATACAATGACAGATTATCTGCCTCCTGAATACCTTGGCCTCTAAGCACATGTCTGACAGAACTACATCAAGTGCACATAACAGACTCACATGATGAGCATGTGAACTGCTGGAGAATAAGGAAAAGTAGTATGATTTCCTCGTTGGCAGAGATGGTAAGAGAGAACCCCGTAACACCAATCTTTTTCTCCCTTCATCTTTGGAGAGCCATTTTCCTACAGTCTGATGCTCACAAACAGCTATGTGCTTTTAAAGATTGGGCAGACTTGGATCCTAGAGGCTGCTACAGATCGTAATTACTGCAGTAAAGCAATATTTATACACACACATATACATACCAACATTTAAAAAGCGTATTTTTCTTTGCAAAGTCTCAAAGCCGAGGGCTATTTTGGCTGGATTCCTTTACATTCATCTATTTCAGTCAGAGAGGACAACATAAAAATCATTTATTCAAGATGATTCTTCTTTCTGGCACAACCCATATCAGAGTTAATGCAATAGTTGAATTCGTGCTCAGCAAACTTGCAGAACAAAAGTGCAGGGACCCTCTTGTTAATTTTATTGCTCTAGGTTCCCAGAGCAAGAGGCGATACAGAATTCCAGATTTAGGTAAAGAAATCATTTTGCAATATCTTAGCTCAGTAGATGTATCCTATCATTATTTAGAGGCATGCATAGCACAGAAATACATTAACTGTCTTACCAGCTCAAAGGAAGCTTCACTTTTCACACTGCTTCTGCCCCTCGATAGCTTTGGCTATGCGGTTTGATGATCAGGCAGTAGCAGCAGTGGCATAAGAAAGCAGAAGTTACTGTGCCCGATTTTGAAGATAATCTCAAGAACCAATGAAAACCTGCTCAGATTATCAGATTGAGTTCAAGTAGCTGCATCTGCAGTTACTCTTTAGTGATGGAGAAACTGAAGAATTTCTGGTAAAGGGTTAACATTTAAAAGACCAAGTAATTTGCTGAATATAAAAGTACCTGCTTGCAACATTTATATAGTAGAAGGCCAACAGAAGAGCTCTTAAAGTGACCCTAAACCACTTCCTAGCCCTGTATGGATATGAGGCAAGAGTACTTCCATCCAAGGCCTCTACACAACTGCGCTCAGGCACCCGAGGCATCCCTGAGCTGCCCTGTTCTGTACTTCTTCCACAGCCTATTGCTGTACTGTGCTTGAAGGGCCAAAGGCAAACAAGCATTGCAGTACTAACATGTCCAAATCCTAGAGTGTATAAGGGACAGATCTTTCCATACCCTGCTGTAATGCTGCAGTGGTTGTATTATAGTCAGGATCCATCAAGTCTGTTATGTACATGTGCCAGAGAAGGGGATAGGAGAAGCAGGCAAAACACAGACTGAATAACAATCTGCCAGTATTAGTTTTAACAGCCAAGAGAGGAAGGCAGGGGCTGTGCAGAAATGAGGACAGACACTTCCAAATTGGTACTACAGGTTGAGTTATGGTGCTTCTCCCAGTACCCGCTTTTCAGCGTTCCCCCTCCAGTAAGACTCCTGCCAACTACCACGAGGCCTCATGGTTACTCATCTAAGGTTTATTTTTTATTGTTACAGCAGGCTTGAACAGGAGCAGAAATTGAAAACCCCTAAAATGCAAGCAGCCTTCAGAGCATCATGTAGACAAATAACAGCTGCTGCCTCAAAGCTGCCCAGATGCTTGCAGTTCACCCTGCTGCAGCAAAAGACATCTTGTCTCCTGTAGAGACAAACTGTATCCTCCCTGCCTACTGCTGCAGGTCACCATAAAGATGCAATGGCTGTGTAAGACACACATCTTTTATAATATTCTGCCTATAGGGCAGACAGGAAAAGATCGTTACAGGAGTTCAGCAGCAGTTTGGTTCAAATGGCAAAGCAAGACGTTCTTCTTCAGTTTCCTTTCATGTTACTATTCCAAACTACAGAGCAGTATATACAACACGAACATCACAGCTCTCTGCAGTTGCCTTTTTTCATACTTCCTCCATGCCCAGGCCATTCACTGAACTCCTGTCCCCGACTGTTGTAAATACTGAGCAAAGCGCAGGAGAGCACAGCCACCTAAAGGCTTTATCTGCATGGGTGGTGCTGCTGGCATCCTCTTGCTACCTCACCCCACTGCTCAGTGCATGACCAACCTCACCTCTGCAAGGCTTAGGTTAGATCACCTGGTTACCTGAGCATGGCAGGAGCAGCTGAACAGAGTCAGCTGCAGGCTGCGTATTGCAACTGTTGTTTTAAGCAGGCCTGCTGGCTGGAGCAGCAAAACAGCAACTGCTCTTACAACACGATTGTCATCACTCTGTCTGTGCTTCATGCTGCTGTTCAGGAATGTGCCACTGCGCGTTTCTGAGGACACAGAAGGGTGGAGTGAGACCTTTTAGAGACAGCTTGTTTGAGAGCCCAGGAGGCCTCCCCAGAACCCACAGCAGTGGGCTTGCTCTGCCACCAACATCCCTAGCATTCCTGCAGGCACAGCCTTTCCAAAGCAGATACAGCTCGGTCAGGGACATGTGCAGTTTGCTGCTAGAAGCCATGGGAAAAAAGCCCACCTCCAACCCCTCCGCATCCACAATGTCAACAACTCATTGGTCAAAGCTTAATTGTTACAACCACTTCAAAGGGAACAGTCTCCCCTACTTTAGTATCCTTATACCATGTATCAAAGCGAGTTCTTCTCTGCCCATGAAGTCTGCCTTCTAGGGTGATCAGAGGCAACTTCTAGGCCAAGGTAGCACCAAACCACCACAAGCTACCAGATGTGCAGCTAGGTAGTGTTGCAGTAACAAAACAGCTCCTTCAGCAGTTCTGGGGCCAACGATACTCACAGAAATAAGGAGCACACAGAATTAAGGGGCCCAAGGAAAGCTAGGCAAGTATCCCCTCTTCCCTTAAGCAGCCTGAGGTCAGTTACCACAATGTAGTTTCTGAGATGCAAATAACTGCAAGATGAGCAGCAGAAGACTGTGCTACAGACCATCAGAGATGCTTCTGCTCAGTACACATTTGCTGGACATAAGCGCAGCGTGAGCAGACCTTGTAAGACAGTGCATGGCAGGATCAGCTCATCAGTAAGGAAGTGGAGTTGGCTTAGTCCTCTGCTGCCTCGTGAAGGGCATGCAGGGTACTTGCAGCACAGCAGGAAGGACACATAAACATGCTGACAATACCTTCCCACGAGAAAAATGGAAAATAAGGAGAGAAGAAACCAAAAATAGCCCCACTATCTTGGAGCAGCGCTCAGGAAGCCCCTAAGCTAGGGGTATATTGAGGGAGTAACAACAATATGGGCAAAGCTAAGCCCAGTAGGTTCAAAATCACAACAGCCATGGTCCTACTATGTTTTATAATCAAACCAGGGACATGGATGCATAGAAAAACTCTGCCAGCACTCACCTGTGAAAGGAAAAGCTTCTCTTCATTACAGTGCTCCCTCTTGTTTAGGAAGCTGTGGTGCTGGCTAAAGTCTTGGGTGAGAGATGGGGGAGAGAGAAGAGTTTATTGGTATCACAGCAACAACAGATTATAACTGCACTGGAAACATACATCATTCACCACAAAGTTTCTCTCAGTATGAGATCTCCTGGACACAAGCAGCCCATGGGTCAGGAGCACTATGCCTACAGAAGATTCATTCAGCATCAGTATTACAGTGACTTTTAAAGACAATTATCTTAGACAAAACAGAGCTATAGAGATGACAGACAGAAATATATTTACGGTTACAGTGCAAATAGCGATTTCATGCTTGGCTTTATTAGCTAGCAGAGATTGCTCAAAATCTGGGCTACTGACCTGTTGACTGCAGCAGACCAGGTCCAAGGCAGAAGACGGAGCTGCAGGCACGTCCAGGTAGTACAACACTTCTGAAATTTCTGCATAGCTCTAAAAGCTGCTCAATGTTTCAGTTAATGTGCTTGGAAAATGCTGGGAGAGATGATGCTGCAGCAGAAGAGCACCATAGCAAGAGTTTGCCTGGAATTACATGTTTTTGAAGACTTTTCATTAGCAAACTCCACCTGGAAAGGCAAAGTGTTCCTGGAGCCTAAGCAGTGTTTGCTCTCTTGGCCACAGCCTTCTGTGATGATTATATTAGAACTGGGTTTGATCACACCCCATGGTCAGGGCTAGGACCCTCTATAATTAACCAATGATTACAGCTGGGTTTAAAGAGCCAAAGATACTAGTAAGAGAAGTAATACCACCTGTGTTGTTGGGAAAGGGTAGGGGAACTTTAATGTAACAAACATACTTGGCATGGGTTATGCTTCTAAGATTCCATCTGCATCCAAACTCTCAAGTCATGTGATAACACCAGGGAAAATAATTTTAAGTTTTGTTGTACTCTTTATAAGGTCACCATCAAAAACAATTGCACATATACATAAGCCAAGGGGTGATTTTCAAGGTACAGTTCTTTTTCTGCCATTAAAAAGGGGGTGGGGGGGGGAGGGATAGAAATAATTAAATCAATAACGTCAAGTGTGAGGCATGAACAGAATAAGGGGCAGTAGAAATAGGCAGATGTATTTCTATGCACCTAACAGTTTTCAGCAGCATGCAATCCCGCTTACATGCAGTAAATTTTGCTTCTCTTACGCATTTTTCTAACACTGCTTCTGGCACAGTATGGAAAAGGCTGAACACTCTTGTTATAAGGCAACATCAAGTCCTTAGCTTGTCTGTGCTCCACTGGCAGGGCTGTCAGAGCCACAGGAGACCCACTGCTTGACATAGCTCCGTGGAAAATCCTCCCCCTCCTGCTCAAGAGAGATGGACCCATACTTGGAATGACTGTTTTGCTCAAATTCACAGTCAACTGGACTCCCACAGTCCGAGTCCACAAAGCCACTGTCAATAGTGTCCAAATCTACGCAGATCACAGGGTAACTGTCACCAGGCCTTGCAATGTGAGGGAGGGAGTCACAGGAACCTTCACTGTAGGAAACACTTTCACCATCAGGAGAAGGCAGAGAACCTGGATTTTCCAAATCCCACTGATCAGGCTGCAAGCAAAGGACTTCTAGGATGCTCCCCATCCTTCCTTCCAAAGTCTTTTCTACTTGCTGGTGAGCTGGGACATTTGTACTCTGCAGGTGGTCTGTAGACACAGAGCCTGAAGCAAGTATTTTGTCTTGAGTGCTCAGGTCAGCCAGAGGCAAGTCACTGGCTATCTTTCTGTCTTCATCATCAACATTAACCTTGGGATAACCAGTTTCTCCAGCACTATCCTCCTCCCTGGTATGCTCATGGTCCCTGTACACACGATTACAGTTGCATTGGCAATTACAAGGCGTGAATTCATCAGCCACAGTCACAGTATCCATGAACAAATGCCCGTATGACTGGTCCTGAGTCCCACTAGAGAGTAGGGACTGGCCATCCTGACCTGGGGCAGTCAGACACGACACACAGGGCTTGCAAGGCAGATCTCTTCTCATCTCATGCAGCTCCTCCCGTGAGGTGCTGTTGGAAGTACGCATGGTGTAAACTTCTAGGACTTCTGGAAGGACTATCCCCCATTCAAAGAAATCAAAAGTGATTTTTGAATGGGGTGCACCAACCCACTTCTGCACAAAGGGACATAGAGGGAGAGAGGGAGGGGAAGAGAGCAGTTAGTGTCATCACGTTTGAGGTTCTACAGAAATTACCAAAGTTCTTACAGCTTTAGAGGCAAAGTCAAACTGTAAAAATCCCTGACTCCTCAAAGCGAGCAGGGTATGAGATGCTGCTGTCACCACACGCAGCAGCTGCAGGTGAACTGACCTAACTGATTGACAATGATTAACTCCGAGAGGTTTGTGTGGCTTTGCAGTTTCCTCCATGCTGCAAAGAATGCCACTGCCCATGGCAGCATTCCTTTGTGCATCAGCCAGCGGTCCCAGGCCACCATGTCTCCTCTGCCCTCTTGTCCTGAACACTGCTTCTCTCAGGAAGGATGGTCAGCTTCCCACCAGGTGTGCTGTGCTGGCACCCGACAACACAGCCCTGCTTTGTCACTTCCCTCACCCGAGTTCCCTGGGAAGGGGATCAAGGCAAGGCTGCTCCCAATCTTCTCTGTGCAACCATGCCCCAGACCAACCTTTTCTCCCACAGTGACAAGAAGGAAGCAGGAATAGGCAGGGGATGGAGACCTCAAAGAGCTGTAACCACTGCCTCTGCAGATTACTCTTACTGAGATGATTAGGGAGTGCCGCACACTGAATCTTGCCCTTCTGTATCACCATTAGTATTACATTCTGCCCTGTATTACCTCTAGGTCATGAGCCCCTTGCATTCAGTCACATGTGTGAGTAAAGGCACCTCTGGGTTTCTCTGATCTAAGAACCAAGTAAAAGTTTCTGTTCTTTTAGAAGTCACTGAATCAGACACTCAGACCACAACAAGCTTTAGGCATGTGTCACTAATAAATGCCAGTCCCACTAGAGGATTCTGCAGTCCAAAGGCTGGGCTCACCCCAGACTCAAGACTTGGTTCTGCTCCCTGTCTGAGACTTGCCTAATGGCTGAGCGGAGTCCAGGCCTACCTAAGTGCACCACTTTCTGCTCTGTGATCGATTGATGGCTTGGCTTCATGAATGAAGTTTTGGGAAGGGCTTTACCCACGCTTACTACAAGCATGATGAGGGCTAAAAGGGCAATGTGGGATAGGCAAATCCTGTTGGAAAAGGTTGCTTGGTTACATAGGATGTTGCCGAACAAGACTATCATCTCCTGGGTCAATCTCTTACTATTGCAACCACACAACAGCAGCAGTGTAAAACATCTAGGCAGGATTCTGACTTAGAGGCATTCAGTCATAAGCATGCAGATGGTAGCCTCCTGCCCTGTGTAACATTGGTAACAACACTGGGCTTCATAAACACAGTGAAGGCTTCTGACAGAGCTGCATGAGAGCTGTGTGTTGCCACTGCTGCCAGACTGCCTTAATCCTATCAGCCTCCTGCACAAATCGCACTCAGCGTAACTAGACATGAGCAAAGAATTTGGGAAGAGAACATCTTCACACAGCCTATTACCCTCTGAGACAGAGCATGGGAGTCTTCATTACAGTAGGAAGCACCAAGTCTATTTTAATTTATTTTTAACCTAAGCAATGAAGACCTTATTATTAAAACTGTAATGGACAGAAAGGTATCTGAGGTGCAAAAGGCTATTTGAAGAAACAGCAGGAAATGCCTTTGTAAAGCTCCTGCCTAACATGATCTTGTGTACACACAAGAGTAAACAATGTTTCTCTGCCTTCCCTTCTCTCTTTAGGTCTTAACTTTTCCTATAACATTTTCACTGCTTCCTACCCAGTCCAGGACTCTTGTCTGCAGAGCATCACTACTGTAATTTGCTGATCATTATTCACAGACATAACCTAACCACTTGCTCTGGGGCAGGCAGGGTGCAGCTGAACAGGCCCTGCATCAACTGGTTTCTTGCCAGCTGAAAGGGATGAGTCTGTTCATGTATTAGTGATGTCACCACATCCTCTGACAGCCCCAGCGGGTGCATCTTGTGCTGTGGCTGTGGGGGCAACAGCGCAAGATGCTGTGCTGCTTTCACCTGCACATTTATTAAGAAGCAACTGAAGCTCAATCCCTTCTCAGCAGCACTGAACAGTGCAATTAGCAAGAATGTAATGCCCACAGAACAGAGAACCCCTATATGGCTTCAACCCGAGAGGAGCGTGGCTCTTGGCATGCAGGGTGCTTCCACTTCTATTGTGAGCACTAGAGAGCCTGTGACACTCAGGAATTCCCACAGAGTCCACCTGGTCTTGGATCGTTTCCCCAGGAGCAACCAGTGCCACTTGCCTCACAAGAGGATGCAAGTGCCCCTCTGGAGCAGATATGGGAAGCCATAATAAGGCTGAAAGAGGAAGGCAGGCAGGAAGGGAGGCAGCCGCTGCCAACTTCAGCTTGAATGGCAACTCTCCAAGACTACTTGCTTAACCTAACTGCAAACATCAGCCATACAGCAGTGGGAAAGTACATGAAGATCATAAGGGCTCAGATGGTGTTCCTTTCCCAGAGGGTCTAAGAAAAAGCAGAAACAAAAAGCAGATAGTGAAGTGTCTCAGGTCAGTGCTGCTGTAGCAACAGGAACTTGTTCAGAAAGAGGCAGTGAAGTCTGCACTGACATGACAGAAATTTACAGTTTCATAATGGCATCGTGAGCTGCTGTTCAGCTTAATACAACCATTATTTATGGATGCTCAGTGGTTTTAGTTTTGTAGCCTAAGAACTCCAGCAAACTCTGCAGTCTTTGCAAACCATTTTGCCACATAAGCAAGTTTGGCTGTTGTTAAATAGGAAGAGAATTTGGGAAGGCTAGGCAAGGTTACTCAAAGACACTTCCTGTACAGGGAGGCAGCTGCACTGTACTATCACACAGCAGTTATCTGCCCACAGAGCTCTAGCCATTTTTCTAGGATGATATGCAGAGCTACTGTCTGTACGAGTGACTCTTCAGAGGAAACTACAAGTCTTGATGTTGAGCTCATGTCATGGGCAGAGGCTGGAGTAAGAGATGGCTCTACAGTGAAGTCTGCTCCATGGCCTTGATGCAGCGCGGGACTGGAGCTTTGGAAAAATCCCAGTTACTGTCCTGGTATCTCTTTGTCCACTCCCTTCAGGTTTCCAGGCTTCACAGATTATATATGAGCTCAGCTCACCCACTGAAACCTACAGGGAATAAGCAGCACGGATGTGACATAAAGGCCTTCATGGCACAGAGTAAACACTGGAGTGCTAGTCCTTATATCTGGAACTGTTTGGTATTCCCTTGAGATAGATTCCACCTCCCACTGCTCTAATAAGAACCCCTTGCCCAGGACAGCATGATGGGATTTTTAGTTTAATTTTGACATGTGCTCCATTTGCTTGTGTAGCCCATTAATACCTTGAAATCTCCATTATGCACCAGGTAAAGTGGTTTGAAAAAGGGAGCAGGGTCTGGGATGCAAGCCATCTTCTTCCATAATCTGGAAGAGAAAAGAGAAAGGCTTTGTGGTTAAGTACACATTACAGATGCAAAACAAGGGATTTCCAGGTCTGATTCAGGCAGTTGCAGTCACCTGCCCAGCCTCACTGGCCTCACAAGTTAGCAGGTGGCTGAGGATCCAAGGATGTCTTGTGCTATCAGAGCCATCTAATGGCCTTTCTTGTGAGCCTCACAAGAGGTGGGCCTCAGCCCTCAAGGCTTGTGCACACAATATTCACGCTAAGGAAAGAGGTTTTTCTTTCCTTCCTGGAAAGGCACAAGCTGCTGGAAATGCATTTTCCCCTCACTCTCCCCCTAGTCTGCATCTCCAGGCCAGAACTCTGCCCTGTGCGCTTCTTAGTGTACAGGGGCTGTGCCAGCTCTGTGGTGCAGCAGCCCAGCACCATTCCCGCTGTGCTGCAGGCACCCCATCCCTCTGCAATGGCACCTGACCCTCTGAAAATTAGGGAGCCTTCAGCCAGCATTGAGCAGCCTGGGTCAGCTCTGCAAAGGGACAGGCCAGCCATGGCTATTGCTCCTGTCTGGCAAATGCAGAGCACAGACAGGATCAGGAGAACAGCCCAGGAAGCTGGGTAGCCCCTTCTCATCCCCATGTGCTATTGTCTTGTCCCAGCCAGCTGAATAGCAGCAGAGTCCCAAAGAAAAGCAAGGTGCTCTTGGCAGTACATCAGCTGGAGACCATACTTTCCTGTCTGTGCATGGATACACAAGATGCAAAGAAGGCTGCATGTGAATAATCCACCTATAGCAACATAATTGTAGTATTTACTCCAGCTTCCTGAAGCATTCTTACCTCTGCTGTTTGGCCAGAAATGTTGTGATTGAGGCAGTGATTGCCACGACACCACCCAACAGCAGCAGCCATCCCATGTCTGCTGTCTGTGTCACTGCTAGAGAAAGAGACAGGATCATTCAGGCTCACCTTGCGTTTTTACCCTGGTCAAAAAGCAAGAGATGGGAAGGAGACAACCTCAGCTTCTATGCCAGACTTTCTCTTAGGGACTAGGCTTTGAAGGCCAGTGAAAAGGTCAGTATAGACAGCACATATCAGCCCAGCCCTGGGGTTTACGTACTCACTAAGCAAACCATGCATAAGCATCCATAAGCATGCCTGTCTTTACTAGACTATTTGTTCTAATTAATTAAATTTGATTAGAGTTCTGGAAGTATTCTCTGCCATTGGGCAGGAAGGGCAAGGAGAGCTGGTTGTATGTACCGGCAGGGCCAGTTGTCAACATCAGCGGACGACTCCATTCACTCCAAAATCCATGATAACTAGTGCCTTCTCGGGGTCTGGCTCTCACTTGGAACTCGTACTCAGTGTTCGCCTGGAGTTCCCGTGGCAGAATTACCAGTGTCCTTCTATCTTCATGAACAGCTTTAGTCTTCCAAGTCTGTGAATGACGAAACACCAAACACTGAGGGCTGGAGTGACTGCTCCTACATTACCCTCACTGCTGCCCAGCGAGGAGCCCCGCAAAGTCATTTCCTCTGCTCTCATGTTGTTTCTGCAAGGCTGTGCTCTGGTTGGGCAGCAGCTGCATGGGGCCCTCAGGGATCCTTCCATGCAGGACAGCGTGAGAAGTAAATGAACTGTCAGCCTTCCCCACAGGACCTAGTACTTCTTAAACAGCTTCTCAATTCTTTTTTCAGTTTTACTTGTTTTCAGTCCCGGCAAGCAAGGAGATGCCTTTTCCAAACCAGGAAAACCCTCCTCCCCACCGGTGCTTCTGTCCTGGGTGTGAGGGCCCTCTCTTTGCTACTACATCCTACTTGATGGTAAACTGACATCTCACCTCCCAGGTGTCAGTCCTTCTCTTGTAACGCAGCTGATATTCCAGCTCCTCATTCAAAAAGTAGAAAGGAAAGTTCTGGTAGATGGTTTCCCAAGAAATATTGTAACCTTCTGAGAACACAGCAGTCAGATTGAATGGAGGCTGTGGTTTGACTGAAAGACAGGATGGTGTTACCCTTCACAACATTACTGCAGACAAGAGGTGGCTCAGCATAGTACCAGTAATGCAGAGCAAGCAGGGAGCAAAAGTGCCCTGGCAGGGTGGGGCCCCCCTCCACAGGACAACATCAACACCACTGCTGCCTCTCAGGCTGGGCCGCCATGCACGGAATCCCACACCTCAGCATGTCTCTCTAAACGTGCCTTCTGCCCGTCTCTGAACCTCCTCATCACCTAGGGGACAGGAGAAGATAGCACAAGGGGCTAATACCAGCTGGGAAACATAAAGAGTACAGCACCTTGTTCTTCCCATGGCATAGGAGGATTCTGTGTAGTCATAGTCACTTTCACAGTTAGGGAAATATCCCTCAGTGTAACAGAGACATCAGGAAAAGCTGACGATAGTGGACACTGCGTAAACTCAGTGCAAATCCCTGTGTCATAAGTGCCTAAAAGACAAGCTTCTGTAGCCCTTGCAGGCTGTTTTCATATGTTCAAAAGCAGTAATGTACAAACTCCAGCCCTAGGTCTACATGGTCCATCACTAAGCTATGATGCCTTTGTATGGGGACATCTAGGAGACATGCAAAGCACCACAACAGTCTGTCAATGGAGACAAGATGCTTTCCTGAAATGTAATGGTATTTTTTAAAGAGATGAGACTTCTCAAATAAAGTTTACTTTGAGAAGAATCCAAGTAGATAACTCCTTTTTCACAGGGCCACACAGCGCCTGTCTGCCTGGCTAACCACCCCTTCTCGTCACAGTTTGCTGCACAACTCGGAACACACCAGCATTCCACCAAGTCAACCAAAGGGCTGCATCCAAATCTCCTGTCATGCAGAAGAGATGGTCTGGAGTTACTCCAGAAAGAACTGGCACATCCATTATGTCTGGGACACCTTGTGCCACCCACAACGTCATGCTAGTTCAGGTATCCACTGCAAGAGCCTTTTGGGACTCCTGTGAGGACATCTGTGGCATTTGCAACTAAAGCAATTCCTCCTGGCCTTCAGGCTCTAGCCAAGAACAAACACCTGCATAGTCTACATATGAGGCTGGTCTAAGGTAGACATTTATCACTCTTGCTTCATGGGGAAAAAAAATACCCCACAAAAAGGCTGGGACCAAGCCAGCCCTAAGCTCAGCCGCAAGCATAAAGGTTTCTGTAGTTTACAATAAGAGCACAGTGCTGCGTAGATGAGTGCACACCAAACACAGGCTCCCAGCACTGCCTGCCATGCTTGCTCCTTGCCCAGACTACCTAGGAGACAGGTACAAGGCCACACAGTATTTATGAAATCCACCATTTTTCTACTTACTGTTCTCAGACATATAAAAGCCATTGGAAATCACATGCTGCTTATCAGCTGTCTCTGTAACATCCACCTGGACTTTGATATCTGCCAGCAGTTCAGTCATATCCACAGTGCACACGTACTCTGTGTGACTGGTGTTCCTGGACAATTGCAGGAGACTGCAGGCAGCCACAGTGTTTTCTGGAACTTCCTCGGAAACCCTAAAAACCATCAAAAAAACCAAACAAGTCCACATCTGCTACATGCTGTAGTTTGACTAAAGCACCAGGCACAGAAATGATGAGAAAATAGAAGCAACATGTTCAAATAAAAATATATCTTTGAACATTGACAGTTTCTGTGTCTGTCTGTTGTCTGTCCATCCCCCTGCCCTTCTCTTTGTTCAGCTTAAGATCTTTGAGAGCAGTAGGAAAGTGTTTGTGGCAAGGAAAGCTGCTGACCAGGGCTACCCAGCTCAGGACTGCACCCACTTCCTTGCTGGGGCAGAGCAGCAGCCGCATGAAGCTTGGACAAACTCAGGAGCCCTTCCAGCACACAGGAGTGAAAGTCCATTGTTAACAGCAGCAAAAGGCAAGATATTCTCAGGGCAGGAGAGAAAACAATGCCAAAGAAACCAGAGGCAGTGTAGCAGTCAGTGGCAAGCAGAGTAGTCAGTGGACACAGGAACCAGGGATCCTTTGCCAAGGGAGATGCCAGCTGATAACTTGAGTGTGAAGTACCAAGTAAAAACCAGCATGGCAGCAAGAACAAGATCTCTACCTAACAAAAAACCCAGCATAGCAGCAAGAACAAGATTTCTACCTAACAAAGGGGTCAGAAGGACACTGCTGTGTTATGATCATGTTAGAAGTTCTTGCTAACTTCACTTTACTCATCCTACTGAGACGCACCATGTTGCAGTGAGGTTATATGAACTGACACACAAGTCATTCCTCAGGACACAGGACAGCGTCTGTACATAGTCCACAAAACAAGTGAGGTTTTCACAACATGTAGCTGTAGGTTGGGAAAGAGAAAACACAATATCAACTTCCATGGTGAAGCAAGCAGAACTTTATATCAATACACAGAGTCCTCAGGGCTCTCACTAAATCTGAAGGTAACAGACTCTGTGACAGCCCTCCCCAGAAGTCTCCAGTCTTAGAGTGCATGATGTATTCACCTCTACAGGGAGGCAAGTCACTGACAGCAAGATAAGTGTCAAACAAAAATCTATTAAAAATGCAGTAGCAGCAAATGGCATCTCAGCATGCAGGAGCTGCTCAGATTGTGCTTGAGTTGCCAAAATTATCTCTGTCCCCTCTTATACAGTCACTATAGCAGAGTCTCGTACTATTGCTGCAAGAGCCCTGGCTTATGCAGCACAAGGCATGCCTACCCCATCACAAACAGCAGCATATTGAAACAGTTTTAATGATACCATTTCCTAAATCGAGTTCTGTTCTTTGCTGTTTTCATTTATGACACGGACAGGGCATTTTGCACATTTTTAAAAGTAGTATTTTAGTGATTCTTTCTTTACCATGCTCTCTGTGTACTATGTTTCTATAGCTTGCTATCTGCAGCATCATTACTTCTCATGTCCAGCTCCACGGGCTCGGATATATTTTTAATGGAATTTTGGAAAAAAAAAATTATTGCAAATTTGTAGTTACTAGAACTTCCATAAATCATTCTGATATTAAAGTGACAGGCACAATGTATTAACCACTGAAACTGAAACAGACTTCTAAAGAGACCTTGAGAGGAAATGCTTGGATTTATGCTGGTCATTAAGAAAATGAGCTAATTTGAAAGTGTTCACAAAGCAGTTTTTATGCTCTTCTAATTGTTCTGCAGGAGCTCTGCTCATGTATCAGTATCTGGAGTGTACTGTACAACAGCACTGCTGTTCTGTGCATAACACACTTAAGTTATCTCCCTGGATTTCATGGCAGAGCAGACAGCAGCATGGTGAGAAATGTCTGCATTGGTGAGTCCTCTCCTGACAGCATCCTGGGCTGACACGAGACACTGCTACTACGCTAGTGAGGAAAGGCCTGTAGGAGGTGCTGGTGCAAACCATGCCTGCTGGAGTGACTATTCATCTCTCCCATGTGAAGTTATCACCCCTTATTATTATTATGGGAATAAAATTGTCATCATCCAGGGAAAGATGTCAAGGTCATTGCATCCATGTAACGTGGTCCCCCCCACCATCAGGACTGCTCCCAGCCTTATGAGATTAATAATCTCATAAAATAGCTAATTAGTATTCTTCTATGCTATTATGTTCATCAGTCAAATGGATTATTATGCTTAGGTAGCTGGTAAACTGCAAGTGTATCTTTGGCCAAGAATCTGTTAACAAAATTAAGAAGATGGCAGATTTTTACTGTGAAGGAAATAATTAAGTGTCCCACTCCCAGTTTGACCTAGGATGAATTGTCCATCCTTGGTAGCATCAGAAACAAAAATCAAACACTTTTTAATAGAAGACTCTAGCTTAGTCCAAACTGAAATTAGTAGAGGATAATTCCCTGGCTAGTGTCACACAAAATTCAGATCAGACATCACAATGGTCCTGTATGGCAGGAAGATAAACCTCGGAATTCATCTTTTCTGCTAATTTTGGTTTAGAGCAGGTCCAATGCTCTGCCTAGAAGAGCTAAACTTGTACCTGCTCCCTGCAGACACTGCTATAGCTGCCTTTTTCTGCCCAGCTGACCTGTTCAGAAAGTCAGCTCTGAGTCAGCTGGAGCTTGCCTGGTGAGTAGGAACCAGCAAGGGGGTTGGGGGGAATGACACTGACTGCACGGTGCAGCCCTGAGCAAGGGGGCTTGGACCAGGAGAGGTTCACTCCACTGGCCCTGGCTGGTCTGCCAACAGCAGCCATAAGCCCCAGGGATATCCTGGTCTTGGCCACCAGAATTTTTCCTATGGCAAAGGTGGGGTTTGGGTGGTATGAGGCTGAGCTCTGCCCAGCTGTGCATATCCTTGCATGTGCCCTTTACTACTCATGGAGCCTCTTGCATAACTCATTATCCCATGGAACCTTCTCCCCTCGTATCCTATCTTGTGCTTTCTGTCCCATGACAATTTAGTAGCATGCAAATCTCAGCAGGGCCTGTGTCATAAGCCACTAAGATAAATCCGATGGGTGTACAGCCTGCGAGAGATAGCTGGGAACTTACTGTACTGGAGTAAGAGGAAGAAGGAAATACTCTGGAGCCACAGTTTGTTCCTCATGTTGGTTCTGACTGGATGTCCTGGCAGGAAAAAAAATAAACCAAAACCAAAAACCACACACCTTAAAAAGTCCCACACAAACAATTAAAAGCTCATCTCTGCCATCTCTCATATGTTCAAAAGTTGAGGTAGAATTAATTTTGCTTCCATTTCAATGTCTAAAAGTAAAGTGAAGTCATTCTGTGTGTACCTACTCCATGGGTTAGGGAGAGTGACCAACAGCCCTGCCAATTGCTAGTAACCAAGTCAGTGAAATCTCCACTCATTGCCAGCAGCATGTGCTCAGAGAAGGCAGGAAAGCGGCTGCAGCCACAGTCTATCCATGCAACAGGAAGGCACTTGGGTTAAGCACTAACCCATTTTTTCTTCAGTGGTTTCCTGCAACTAGAAATGGTTTGCAAATAGGAGAAGTGACATTGCTGTGGCTTCAATATCTGTACAGTGAATTAGTCATAGTCTGAATGTCACTGTGAGTCTGTATAAGCACAGCTTGTGAGAACTCATTGGTTTGTTCTACCCATAGTTTAATAAGCATGGAGTTCCTGGTTAAGCCACTCCAGCAAGGCAAACTAGTCAAAAACCCAAAAAGCTTCCCATATGGCACAGAAGAGAATGATGTACAGTACTCACTTCAGGGAAACGCTGTCCTGATGCACTCTGGTGAAGAGAGCCTACAGAGGAAAGGACAGCAGGATGTTTACAACAATATGAGGAAACAGCATCGCATACAAATGACTGCTCAACCCACTGCTCCCACTCCAAGTCCAACCCCAGAAGCCACATAACACACTAAGGCTGTGTTTTCACAGCGCTTAACACTTACAGAAACACACAGATGTGCACAGAAAGAGTCAAAATGAGCTCCCTGCCGAGTACTGCGAGTCCTTCTCCTCAGGCTGCTCCCAGTCCCTTCATTCCCCAGCCTGTATCGATACCGATACCGGGTGCCGTGAGGCAGGTGCAGGAGCAGGTCCTCGTTGCCTCGTCCCTCCCCAGCACCAGCAGCGAGCTGCAGGCCGTCACTCGGCAGAGACCGGCAGCGAGGCCTCTCCCACCCGCGGAACACTTGTGGTGCTCAAGAATTTCCCAGGGTTACTCAAATAATGAAAGCAAAACGAATTTAGCAGCCCCCAGAAAGCCCCTGCAGCCCCGCACGGGCTGAGCCTTGCTCTCAGGCACCAGGGTCCAGATGACATCAGGAAGGCTGCTGGGAGGTGCCCCACGCGCCTCATGGCCGCAGGCCTGCGGTGGGAGCAGCTGGGGTGCTGCTGCCCCTCCTTTGCTGCCAAAGGCACTGTGCGGGTGAAGCGCACGCTGCAGTTTGGCCCCGGCCCCTGCCAGCCTGCCCCAGCTGCTGTGAGCAGCAGGACAGGAGCTCCTTCCCCACACTCCAGCCCTTCCTTGTGCACCACACACTTCCTTGAGGAGATGCCTTCTCTTGACCCCTCCGGTCCCAGTTCAAGTTTTCTCTGTAGGGTAACGATTGTCACCACCGCTGTTTCTGGTGACTTCTGATTACTAAGACACAGGCCACTGTCTAACCCCACCTTGTGCTCCCTTTCATCCTTCCACTGCTCTTCTCCACATTCTCATTCCTTTGAGTGCTCTCCTGCCACCCGGAACCTCTCACCTGACTTTGTGCTAGGGCTGCCTGCACCACAAGAGCAGACGCCCTCAAGGTGGGCAGGCTCCTGAGGCAGCTTCTGGTCCTGACTTCACAGCATCGAGGCCCCTCTTCCTTGCAGCACATTTCACACCAGGACTGTGTCACTCGCCCTGGAGACACGATGCATGCACTTGTCCACTGCCTTTTTACCTCGTCCTCCTCCCTGGGCAGTACCTAGAACCTGTAACTGCTGGGCTCAGAACCCCCAGGGCTGCCCTGCCTTAGGAGGGCAGCAACCTGCCCAAACGGGCCCGTTCCCACCCCCGAGCGCGCCGCCTGCTCCCCTCAGCCCTTATGCCCTCCTGCCTGCAACCCAGCGCAGGCCGTGGTGCGGGGCCCCGTGGCAGAGCCCACCTGGGCCATGCTCGGCAGTCCTGGCCACCCTGCAGGGCCGAAAGGCAACTTGCTGCCTCTTCTTCAGCAGGGGAAGGAAGGGCTGGGCCCTCAGGAGGACTCTGCAGCCCCACTGCTTGTTTCAGCACCCAGCTGGCAGTGCCCCAGTGTTTCATGTTCAAGCCATTTCTGTAGCTCCCTTATTTTATCCCCATTCCTGCCTAAATGGCCAGAGCAATGCAAGGGAAGCCTTTGCTGGTTTTAGCTGTGGGACTGTGATTTCTCTGAAGTGCCATCCCTATTTTCCTTCCTGTGCTCAGAGAACAGCCTGTGCCATCAATCCAATAGTATAGGAAGGACCGAACAGGAAGAAGTCAAACCAACAAGCTCATCAAGGAAGACGTCTTATGGAGGTATCACAGGCTGCCATTACACACTGAAGAGAGGTTAACATACAAGGTTGTAATCTAGAAGGAAGCTTCCTGAGCAAGAGCACAGTAGCAATAAGACAGAAAAGCAGTAGGATGGAAGGAGGCAATACCTCCTCACGCGGGGCTCCACTGTCCCGTCTCTTACCCTTGCCAGTGCATACAGATCAGTCCAGCACTTACACCCCTCCCTTCTTGCACAGTTCTCCTACCTCAGGGTGATGGGAAAGCGCTGCTACCTCTAAGTGCACCACAGAAAGCGCAGTGCTGCCTGCCTGACCTCCTGGCTGTGCTCCAGGTTGTTAGGACAAGACACGGATGCATGTGCAGAATAGCTGGGAAAGACGCACCTCTGGAACAGTGCCTTTGTGATCTTTGCTGGCTGAAAGACCCCAGGGCTTCACAGAGATGGATAGCGGACGCTGTTCTGAAGCTTCCTCCAGTCAGGCCCTCTGCAAGCTTCAATCCCAGCCTGAGGTTAAGACCCCTGCCTTTCCTACATCCCTCCATTTGTTACACTCTTCCATTTGCTTCCATGTGTCAGTGCCTTGCTCGTGTGGTTGTTCACTTGGAGGGAAGAATGGCAGTGGGCAACAAGCAGAGGCAGGAACTTATTCCCTGTCTGGCATTAGAAAAGCCCTTTCTACCACCTCATTTCAATTTCTCTGTGAAATGGGGGCTCTGAGACAGCTTCATGCATCCTTGAAACACAGCTATTTAATTCTTATAAAATGTCAAGCACTGTACAGCTGCTAAGCACCACTGCTGCAAACTCTGTAGTGTCCTAGGGAACACTGTGAGAGCACAGGAATAAAGCTGATCAGCCATTCATATAGATGTGCTTGTAGTAAGCGTGGGTAAATGCCCTTCCCAAATCTTCGTTCGCGAAGTCAAGCCATGATGATGACATGTAAATGATACTACAAGGTTTTGATATACCAGAGGACAAGAAATATGACCAATATAGACAGGCATTTACAGACAAAAAGACGGTTTTAGTGAAGGATCTGGTAATATGGTGCTATCAGCAGCCAAAGATGGACGCAGGCTGAGCTCACAGTTTGAAATGTCTCCAGGAAATGTAGATACTTGCCAAACTTCCCCAAAAGAACCCTAATTAAGAACTCAGTTGAGGTAAAAAAAAAACAAAACCAAACAGCCCCCTCGGTATTTCCAAGCATGAGAAAATAAATGTCTTTGCTACACCCAGGCAAAAACCGTACAAGCCTCTCAGTCATCCCATATGAAAAACAGAGTTTCTTCTTGAAGAAAAGTTGATTGTCAGTGTACCCACCACCTAAGCACAAAGCCAAAGCAACAGGGAGACAGAAGGATTCTCTAGCTGTCCAGTAGAGGCCAACAGCAACGACAGTAGGGGCACAAGGGACATGTCTGCTACAAGAAAGCTTTGCAGTGAAGTCACAGATATCAAGCAGTAGCGAACTGGCAGCAGGGAAAGCTGGAGGAAGCATGAACATTACCTTGCCCTGTCCCTGTCCTCTCAACTGTCCACTTCAGCCTTCCAACACGTCCATGCCTGGCCTGGCTAAATCACCACTGCAGCTGCAGATGCTGCGCGCGCAGGAGCTGGGGAGCAGGTGGGTCTCATGAGCACTGAGTAAGGGTAAAGCCTGCTTGTGCACAACCCGGGCTGTAGGTATTGGAATACAGTGATAAATGGTGGTTGACGTCACCACTGTACCAGTATTACTGTGCAGACAGAAGGATGTGGTGAGCAGAGGAGGCAATGAATTTGGGTCTAAACACCCACACAGCATTTATTACTGTATTGCTCTGCTCTGTTCCTCTCATGTGAGAAAAAGGTGGGAGAGCAGACAAAAACTCACAAGCATCCAATCAAAAAGGTCATAGTGGGGCTAGTCGGTTAGAGCTTTGCAGGGGGAGGCATCAGTGTCAGGGCGTTAAATGGCCAAATCTAAGTATATAGTACAGTGTGTATGGTACCAGAGACAGGGACCACTGCACTGCACTTCTGCCTGTCCCCAGCATGGCCCCTGGGCCCAGGACAGCAGCACCAATCCTCAGACCACAGGCAGGGAGCTGGTCTGGCTCCTGCAGGGGAGAGGGGCTCACCCCTGCCCTGCTCTGCCCTCCTGCCTGCAGCTCGTGCCTGCGCTGGAGCTCTGCAGGTTGCAAGGCTGACAGTGAGGAAGGGCAGGCCAACCCACCCCTGTGTGCCTAAAAGGGGGCTGCAAGGAGTCCAGTGCATGCTCCTTGTGTCCTTGGGCAAGAAGGAATGGAGCAGCGCTAGAAGGGGGCTTTGCACGCACAGCAGAGGGTGGTGGTAGGAGGGAAAAGAACAAGGAGCTGGAATAACCCAAGGAGACTGCAGCAGGGAAGCAGGCACAAAGCTGTGTGCAGGGTGAGCAGGCTCTGTGCTCAACCCCTGCTGCACCCACCACACAAAGATTTGGCACAGCACAGCACAGCATGACCAGCCAGGCAGCCTGAGGCACCAGATGCACACCCAAGTAGGGGCCAACTCTCACCCAGCCCCCAGGGCTCCTCAGGTATCTGTAAGGGAAATAACAGACATGGGAGAGTCAGGCTGGTCAGTCTAAGTACAGTACATAGTGCCTGTACATGTGTGCATGTGCAACTACATGCATGTGCACATGTGAAGCTGCACAAGTAACCCAATGTGAAGAGCAACAAGTAGTCTTGCCCCTGCAAAGCAAACACTTAACATCCAACTGGTTCTTGAGCGCTGGAAGCCCAGCACAGTGTGACCCACCAGATCTCCTTCATTGCTGAGGACTGTACCCACCATACACAGCCTGGGAAGAGCCATCATGTAGGACACACGCGCAGGATATCTAGGGGCCCTGATACTTGTTCCCACCTGGCGCACAGGTACATCTCCTGCACAGAACAAAGCAAGTCAGTGGGCTCAGTGCCCAGTGCCTGTCTCCACAAGCACACGGCTCTAAAGCTGCTCTGTGCTGTGAGGGTGCTGACTCTACGCCTGAGGCTCCATGACACTTCAGGGCAGCTGAATCCAGCCCCAAAGGTAAAGCACTTGGAGACCTGAAGCAGTTCAATTGCCACGGATTTATGTTGATTTGAGTAAAGAGGCAACAACTTTCACCCAGCTGTAATCACATATTCACCAGAAAGAAGTGTGAAGGGTGCAGCAGACCCTGCTAAAGCTATTGATGACCCAAGAGCATTCTGCCACAACTAGAAGGGCAACATCTCTAAGTTTTTATAAGCAGGAATAAATACACACAGAGGAAATAACAACCAGAGCTGACGTTTCCTTTCCCTCAAAGAGAGAATTAGTGATATTTGCAGTTACCAAGTTCATGATATGGGGGTGAAAATTCCACACAAACAGTACCACATCTGTATTTAGTTCCTGTCACAATGGAATTAAAACAACATCCTCTGCATTGTCAAATGTACACAGCTGGTATAACTCTAGGGTCGAAGGTGCCTTTACTAGCTGGTGACATGTAGGAGGAACATAATCGTACATTACGCTAAGCAATGAGTAAAACATGGCAGGAGAACAGCTGAAACACGAGTAACAGTGCTCTAGTGGAAGGGAAAGCAATAGAAGAAACCACCTCAAAGTTCAGGAAATGGGGTAAAACATGAATGAGCCAGGCAGAAAGCGGAGGTGTTAGTCAGCAAAGCAGCAGGCTGAAGAACAACAAAGCCCCCCCGCTGGCAGGCTGGGAGCTGGCAGGATGCTGCAGAGGAGCAAGCAGTGTGTTGCTTTTGCTCTGGGGAATGCTGAGTGCCACCTGCAGAGACCCCAGCACCCTGCCCTCCTGCCTCCCTTTTGCTTTTGCCAGTTGTCTCTTTGTAGCCACCAACATAAGGCTCAGCCTCTTGTTTTCCCCATTATACATCAAGTCTGAACCCATTCTTCATGAAGGCTGTAGTATGAGGACACCACTTTGGCTCCTGCCAGAGGAAAAGGGCTTACCTTCACAGAGCTTTGACTGTGAACAGTTTGCTCGCACAGAGGCTCGTATCTTCTCTTAGGAAATCACCAGACACATGCTGGTAAACAGAAACAGGAATGACTGGGCCTGTGAACTCACCCTGACCATCTGAAACAGAAACCTACAGCTCTCATACAACCCAGAGCATCTCCCAGATGCCTCACTATGCTGAATACATTCAGCCCACAGGAAAGCATGCTTTCTCCAAGACAGCCTCCACGCCAGCATTCTCTGAGAGCCAAGACCCCTGCAGATAGCCCACAGGCAGTCCTGTGCCTCCATTGGAGCCCTGCTCCACAGCTGGGTTCCTGCAGCTTCACAAACTAAACATCAGCCTTTTCTGGTCTAATCAACTGATGTGCCCCATCCTCTCCACCCTCCCCTCCCGCAGCCATTCTCAGACTGGTCCCAGGTCACACGCTGCATGTCTGTGCTTCCAAAGAGCTCTGACCCTGCATGGGGTCAGCAAGTCCATCACACATTCCCCAGCGCTCACCCAAGTCAGCAGCACTGGCAGAACTCTCTGCTCCTTCCACACAGGTTGGCAGAAACTGACCCACACAGAGCCAGCATCCACCAGCTGGTCCCCAGGTCTCTGCTCACAGGGATGCACCAAGGCCAGAACCCTGCTGCTGGCACAAAGCTCATTATGGCAAGAGCCCCACCTGAGCCTCTCTGATCTTTGTTTTGCCACAGCTGTCACAGCCCAGCACACCTCAGCCCTGCAGCAGCTTGCCCGGCCACCAGCTCTCACCGCAGGCCCTCCACACTGAGCCTGCCTTGGAACCCTCTGCCACCTCTAATGGGGTGAAAGCACAGGGGCTACCTTCAACCTCAGACTGCAGAGGCATTTGCAGAGCAAGAGCTAATGGTTGGCAGGGCAGAGCTGCCTCCAGCGGCGAGCAGCAAGCTGCAGGAGGTGATGGCATGGCAGACCACAGACCAGCAGCACCGCTGGCTCCATCCCACACCCACAGAACCGGCCTAACATAAGCTGTGGCTTCTCACATCACTGTGTCTTTAGGAGAAAAGGTGGGTGGGGGTACAGGCTGGACAAACAGGCAGAGATAGGGAAGCACCTTGCAAGATGCTGGGGCATACTAACAACATTGTAGATATACAGGATTTTCTTGGAAACAGATTGCTCCGAAGTAGCCAGTGTTTCCAAAAATCCAAAATACAATCCTGCACAGAGAACCCAAAAGGCTTTGTGAGACTCTTGGGGCAGTCCAACTTTTGTGAAGCTGTAGCTTTGCTATGACGCTGTGTTAGGAGTTCATTGGAAAGTGGCAGAAGGCAGGAGATTGCTTTGTTTGAGGCTAAAAAAGGACAAAATATGGGGTTATTGGCTCAACAGAACACAGGGACTAATGCGATGGAATTGTGTCGCATCAGTGTATCTGCGCCCAAAGCAGCACTGGGAAACACTTCCAGTGCTCTGCAAGAAGAGGAGGCAGAGGCTTGTTCTTACAAAAAGCAGGGGCTGGGGCTTTCCATGCCTCACAGTGACTGCTTGTGGTGTGAGGCTCCTGCTCAAAGAAGGAAGCTGAGGCACTGGTTGCTGTTCTGTACCAGCTCTGCTCTGCTCTGCACAGCCCCGGCTTCCGCAACCCTTCCCTGCCACTGTGCATGTGCAGAAGTTGGGAAGAGAGCGTGGAGAAGCTGGAATGTGCTAAGCACAGCACAAAGCTAAACCAATGGCAGGTAACTGGCAAAACAGACATAATACAAACAGCAGCTGAATGTGTTGGTCCTTCCTGCTGAGGAGCACAGGAGGTTTATAAGACATCTCATAAGAACTGCAAAGGTGGGAAGAATCCCTGGTGTTTCTGCAGCAGCTCAGAGCAAGGCTGTGGAATGGGGGCTAAACTGCAGGTCCTAATTCCTGCTTTGTGCAGGAAACAAGGCCCATGATGGCTCTGTTGCCTAGCTCACGTTGTGGAGGAGTGCTTCTGGAGAGCCTCAGGCAGGCAGTGCCACCCAGCACTGAACTGTCCTCCATTACCTTCAAGCCTGGAGCCTGCCAGACAGGTGCACTGGACAGTGACTGCAGCCCAGCAAGAGCCTCCCAGAGCCAGCTCCTGGAGACCTCGCTCACCAAGGGCCAAGAGGGTGGACGTTGGGGCCAACCTCGGCCAGAGCAGACCTGGTTCTCACAGCAACTCTCTAGAGGATCCGGACAAGAACTGGGGACCAGTTACAGCCCTGAGCTGGGTGTGGAAATTCTCCCCCCAAGAGGCACTCCAGCATTTCTCACCCTGTTGTAATTCTTGTTGCTGTGTGGGTGGCTCACTGCAGGTGAAACCAGCAGTGGCTGAGCTGGGGAGAAGCAGCCAACCTCAAACTCTTCAGCTGATACCAAATTCCCCCAGGTCTAAGAGCTGGGGAAACAGCCGCAAGTAGGAAAGTCCCAGTGACAGGTTAGGCACTGACTCAGTAACCTTCAAGCAGAGGACAAACAACATACCGCTGTGAATGCCTGCTCCTATGCAGTGAGGCACAGACAGGACCACGGAAGCTGCTGATCCACCACAGATCAGGGACAGGAACTCTTTAGGGTGCCTGCCACATTCCATGGACAGGTCTAGGACAGTCATCCCTCTATCAAGGACAGGCTGTAGGTCACAGGCTGTACTCTACCAACTCTTGCCATTACAACTGCCTCTCTGCATTCAGTATACAGAATTTTAGGGCTCCTTCACAGCTGGTCAGTTCTGTTAACAGCAGAGCAAAAAAGGAAATGGTGCTCCTGCCCCTGCGCAGCACTTGGCTCCCACCTCTGTTCATCCAGGGCTGCAGCCAGTTTTTCTTCTCTGTCTTGCAGTCTTGCTGGTGGGGCAGAAGGCAGCTGTGTGGACAACTACATGTTGTAGAAAGCCATTGGAGGGACAAGATAGAAACAGGACAGCACAAGGGACAAACAGAGCAAAGCACCTTTGGCCAGAGATCAGCAGAGCTGCAAAGTTCTTCTCAACATTCCCTTCTCAGCTTGTCACAAGAATGAGAATACTCAGGACTTGGAAAACCAGTGGTGCCGCTGATGGCTGTTACTGGGTACTCAGACAAAACACACTGAGGCAGAGCTTCAACTTTGCTTAACTGTGCTGGCGAGGTACCTGGGCAGTGCCCTCTTCCTCACCTGGCTGGTCCACAGCACGGATGTTCTGTGTGTGCGGGTGCACTGCACGGGCACAGTTCCCCAGAGAATTAGTCAAAACCACCTATTCTTTGTGAAAGCAACTGTATGCAGAATTACACACCTCTGTCAGAGCTCAAATGCAAACGGCACACATCATGCTCCTTAAGGAGTTTTCTACAGAAAAGAAATGGCTACGAGAAACCAAACTGTCCACTCAGTCCCTATTCACTAAGGAGTCCCATAATTCTCATCACAGAAAAATGTTAGGGAGCAGGATTCTGGAAATCACAACCCGCTCAATTTGGTTCTCTCACCCTTTGCTATTATGCAACACCTAAAAGAACTTGTTTTCTTAGATGAAAGTTTGTAGCTCATGATGGGTAAGTGCTTGCATCCTGCCTGAACAGTGCAGGGTCCCAAAGCAAGATGCAGAGACAAGTTATTTAAAAAGCTGGCCCCTCCTTTATCCTAAATCCTCTTGTGGTTATTGCTGGTTTTCCACAGGCAATGGCAAGCCTTACGATTGACAGGATTTGCCAAGGGCTGTTCCACACAGGTGTGTATTTCTAAGGAGCCAACACTGTTCACAAAGACAAGGCCAGGCTGTGGCACTCTGCAAAGGAAAAACATGTATCAGAACTAGCTTCTCCTGAACTGGGAATACACCTGCTTTTCTCAGGAACCCATTTCACTCATGGTGAGTCAGGTTGCTAGTACCTGGTAGGCAGCCAGGTAAAAGATGTTGAGGTAGACTGATGGTGAGAGAGTAATGAAGGGCTTTATAACTAGGGTAAAACTTGGCACTAGCCCCCACTTGCACTGCAGTCTTACAAACACACTGGAAAACACAGAGAATATACTTACTATGGTCAGTAATTCTCTGTCCTGGTTAAGAGCCCTGTGCTAGCTATAAGGGCCACACTTGGAGAGTCCCAGCAGGCAGGAACAAAGCTCCTCTCTCAGGAGGGCTGCTCTGCAAGCACAGGCTGTCCCCACGTGTGGCTCAAGCCAGTGCACCTCACTGGCAGCCTGGGGCCAGCCCAAGCCACAACCCCTCACACTCTGGGCAGATCATCTCAGGCTAGAAACCCATCACTGAAACCTCCCAGTGCTTTATAGCACTGCAACCGCTGCGGGCAGCAGGAGTGGAAGCACTGGAGGATGGAGCATGAGCTGCAGACATGAGCCATGCCTGTAGCAGCACAGGCCAAGCTGCTCACCTGCCCCAGAGTCCATCACCAGCTCTGGGTTACGCAAAGGTCTAGGAAGAGGGCTCCCCCTTCTTGAAGAGTTACAGTTTGATTTCACCAGAGAAATACTGAAGGGAGAAAAGGGGAAGAATACCCACACGCAGAAAGCCATCCAACAGAGGTCACAGCTACACAGAATATAAAGCCAGGGAAAGGCAGGATGAAGCTGATCCAGCTGAGTGCAAGCCTTCCAGGAGGATTTCACCAAGAGTACAAGGGAGAGTACGGAAGCAGAAGGGGAAGAAAGCATCACTGGTCCCTGTGCCTCCCTTAACAGCCCTGTGCTACCACAGCAAACAGCGAGTCACCCATTATGGGCAGCTGCAGTGACTAGCTGTTGGATTTCGCTTCAGCTTTACTTCGCTTGGATTTAGGGAAGTGAGGCTTGCCCAAGAGGCAGACCATGGCCTCTGCATCTTCCTGTTCCACCATTTCAGTGCAGGTTTGGTTGATGGGTCCTAGAAAGCCTCTTCATCCATCTGCCTCACACCCCTCCCACTTCACAGAGCTTGTGCTCATGTTACATGCAGCAGTGACTCCCCTTGTGCAAAGAAAGAGTAATTCTCATAGAAATAAACCTCACCTGCGTGGAAATAAAACTCAACCTGATATTTCCAGTAAAAACAAATAAATAACATGTTCACCAACACCTTACCTACAAGCAATGAGATCTTTCAGCAATCACCACCTTAGTGAAAGTGAGCTACAAACCAGTGCCTACGATTAACTATATAACTAAATATTAACCATTACATCTAAATACAGACATTTCACTGTGCGCCTCCTTCCAGGGCTTACAAACCTTTTTTTACTGCTGCAAAACTGATGGGGAGATCTCTCCTACCTGGGCAAACCGAACTCTGAAGTGAGATTTGCAGTACCAAAATCTCACAAACCACATTAAATCAGTTTCTGCACTCAGCATATGGCTTCCTTATGCACAGCAATGCAAATAAGGGTTTCTAACCTAATAAGAACATACATACATATCTTAGTACACATAAAGTGTCTTTAAGTATTCTGCGTCACTGCCAGCTGACTGGGGTGAAACGTACCACATCAAAATATATAATGCCTTAGAAATGTGCAGAGTTAGGAGTAAACCAACTGGAATAATTAACCAACAACAAGCGTAAGCTGCCTTAAAAACAACAAAAAAAGCTCCATCAGTTAAGGGGGTCTGACCTTAAACTGATAAACTTCCTGGGAAAACATTGCTTAGAAGTATCTGATTCCACTGACAGCTGTAGAAATATTAAATAACTGCTTGCTTCTACAAAATAAGAAACTAATCATCAGTAACAGCATTGTGTAAGCTCAAATAACAGGAATTTTTATTTTGGGTCTCGATTGAGCATGTGTAGAAACAATACCCCATGCTGAGGCTAGGCACACAGGACCTCCCTCCTCCCTATACCCCAATAAATAAGTTATGGAAGCTCCCCTTTGATGTGCACTTACATCCTACTTCCAAGTGTGTCAGCACCTCCCACATCACCTCTGTGCGCTTCCCAAGCAACACAGCTGGGGCATAACCACAGGAGCTGAACCAAGAACTCCTACATTATGCAGCTGCTTCTGACTTTAGAGAACAGTCAAGGCCAGAGAAGCTTTAGCTCTGGCTTTGCAACCCTGACAGATCTGTAGCTGCAATTGTTAGGTACCAACCCCTACTGTCCCCAGGGGCCTGCATCACATACTGGTTGCCAGTCCTGCAGCAGACACAAGTATCACATCCCAACTGAATCTTTCTTTGAGCTGCAGCAGCCCTCGCTTCAGTCAAGACTGGAAGAACAAGCAACATTTCAATCTGCAATACAGTTTATTTCCAAGGACTGGCTTGGTGCAGCCCTGGCACATGGCTAGGCAACCTTCATGTACCAGTTGTCCTCCCGGACAAGGCCTTGTACACAACTCATTTTTCTTTCATTGTCCCTGTTTTCCCTCAAAAGCTCTACTGGTCTTTTCTGAACCGCAGGTGCCAGTCTGGAAGCCTCACTGTGAACGGTGTGAGAATCAGCAGGACAGGAGTTATCCATGGAAAGAGGAGGCACCAACTTATCTGCGACCAGGAGCTCTGGCGGCTCTGCAGTTTTTCTTTCTAAGTTTAGCCCAGTGCTGGCCAGTGATTTTCCTGGTAGAGCAGCTGCAGACCTGCACCTCCTGCCTACTGCAGGCTCCATCACCTCCTGATTTTCCCCTGCATTGCCATGCTTCCTCAAGTGGCTGTGCATGTGGCAGCGGAAGGCAGTATTCAGTCTGTTACTGCTGCTCTCCTGCATTCCTTTACCAGTACACTTAAAGCTGTTAGGCTTTGTCCCCTTTGTAGTTCTCTCTCTGCTGTTATTTTCATCTTTGCTATCACCAGACAGCTCATGAGAGTTCATGATCCAAAGGCTGCCATCACTGGTCTGTGCAACACCCTCCCTAAAGACTAAATCTGGGACAATTCTGCCATCAAAACCCTGTGCAATCAAACACACGTGGTCATCCGTCTTCAGGTCAGGTTCACAGATCGTCGTTTCTGGAGGTGTTCCTCTCAGGCGGTTGTACAAAAGGTGAGTGAAGGAATCGCACTGTAACCTGGAGATAACCTCACTGTCATTGTCATGGTGTGTACCATTATACTTCACTACATTATCAAAAGGTTGATAACCAGATGGCTGAGGTCCAGTGGGGCAAGAAATAACATTGGCTTTCTTTTGAACAGTTTGGTATGTTAGTTGGTTATGTATTTCTTCTTCTGGCAGGAAAGCTGAAGCACTGTCATTTCCATGTGTGGGGAAAGATGGAAAATCACTATGTTCTGAAGAGGTGTTGTGAACATCAAGCTCAGTGCAGGGAGATCTGTAGTTGGTGTAAGATGTCTGATTGCGAGGGGGCTGATAAATCTGATCTCTGCAGCTCAGTTCTGGTGTGTCTGAAAACTGTGTTAAAGGTGGAGAGGAGCACACATTTTCAAAGTATAGACTCAAGCTACTGTCAGCCATAGACTGAGAGATAAGGGTGTCAAAGCTCTTGTAGGCAGAACCACAGGGCTCCATGGATAGAGACGTAAGGGTGTCAAAGCTCTTGCAGGCAGAAGCACAGGGCTCCATGGGTGGAGACGTAAGGGTGTCAAAGCTCTTGTAGGCAGAACCACAGGGCTCCATGGATAGAGACATAAGGGTGTCAAAGCTCTTGCAGGCAGAAGCACAGGGCTCCATGGGTGGAGACGTAAGGGTGTCAAAGCTCTTGTAGGCAGAACCACAGGGCTCCATGGATAGAGACGTAAGGGTGTCAAAGCTCTTGTAGGCAGAACCACAGGGCTCCATGGATGGAGACGTAAGGGTGTCAAAGCTCTTATAGGCAGAACCACAGGGCTCCATGGATGGAGATGTAAGGGTGTCAAAGCTCTTGTAGGCAGAACCACAGGGCTCCATGGATGGAGATATAAGGGTGTCAAAGCTCTTATATGCAGAGCTACACAGCCCCATGGATGGAGACGGAAGGATATCAAAACTCTTGCATGCAGGGTTGCTTACTCTGTCTTTTTTGGTCCCAAATGATGGTTTATTTGGAGATTCCAGGATCAGGAGACACGAATCATGCTGACTTTCAGAACTGCATGGAAAATGGCTTTGATGAGCCGTATGTTGAAGTTCTCTTGCATCCAGAGAAGAATTTATGCTGGAGCTGTGATAGCCAGATTCAAAGGATTCTTCTGATTGTTCTGACTTCTTGCTGGCTGTACTATGATTGTAGTCATCTTGAGAAGCTCTGGGGAAAAGGGAAACATCACACAGCTGCCAAGTCTGGGCTGTGCTTTCATTTGTATTTTGCTGTGAGGGATTTTCTGACTCAAGTTTCTCAAAGGTTTTGTTCTCACCCATGATGATGTCTGGGTCTTTATGGTCTTGCATATTTTCATCTGCCACAAGCTTTATAAACATGCTAGCTAGTGCATCATTGTGTTCAGTGTGCTCTCTGAAAGCACTGACACTGCTCTCGGAAGGCTCAAACACAGCGATATGGTCACTAGTCTCTTGCTGGTGCTCAGCCTCAATGTCTGTTAAGCATCCACCGATTCCTATCAAGTCATCAACCAGAACTGTCTCAGGGGTTAAAACTGCGCTGCTGCCTTTCGGAAACCGCTCTCGAGACTTGTGGCAACTGCAAGATTTCCCAACATTTCTGGTGTTATGTTTTCCCTTGAAGTTTTGGCTTGACAAGATTTGAGCCAGACAGTTCTTGCAACTTCTGTTTTTGGAAATCAAAAGGAAAGGAGAGTTAATGTTTATGTAAGAGGGAACTATTTCATGCTGTAAAGCAGTTTGGTTTTTTTCCTCCTTTGTTTTACTTACATTTCCTTTTCCGTATGATTCTGTTTTAAGTCGTGGAAAGGGAGCTTAATTTCATCAATGTAGCACAAAACTGGAAACTAATAAAGACACAAATGAGATTTAGGACACATGCGAATTGTATTTCAGAACCCCTGCACCAGCCAGACAATAGCACTTATTACATATTCTGTTTCTGGTGATCAGAAAAAGGTTTTTTTGCAAAGCCTTAAAATTACCTTGACATTTTTTACGACCAGATGGCTCTTTGCTGGATTTGGGATTTGATCCCACCATTCTTTCTTCACTCTGCAAGGGAAGAATTCAAATTGTTTGCTTTGACTGCATTTTGACTTGATCAATGTGCACATCCCTCTTCTGTTCTTCTCTCCCTCTTAGCCACCTGCACTGCAGCAAGAGGAAATGCTTGCTGTGTAAATCTTCAAGTGCTGCTTTTCACTGAACTATCGCAGAGATATTTGTATGTTTAGTGCATGACTGCTCTACAAAACCAGTGTCACACATTCTTCTAGTCATGTTTGAACTGATGCACAAAACAGATGGGATCCCACTTTCACATTAACACTAAGAAATTCAAAAATAAATACAGGTATTTGACCATCATTATTAGAGCTCCAGCAAAGATGGGCCAAAACCTGACAAACCCCAGAAATGCAGCCTGTTTGGACACTCTAACAAGCCCATTCTGATGAGATTAACAGAGAACATTCAGCTATTGACTCCGAAAATGAGACTGCAACTGATTCATGTTTATAAAATGTTAGCCTGTAGAGAGGTGCTGAGGAAAAGCAAACCCTTCGATTCCTGACCGAGACACTCGGCTAGCTGACAGCAATACTGCTATCCGTGCAAAGTGCTGCTCTGGGAAACCCGTGAACAGCACGCTACGTACCTGGTAAAACAGAAGTAACAAACGACAGATAGTGCCACGATCAGAATGCAGGACACAGGAACAGCCATCTGCAGAATGTCTTCAGCTGTCACTCGGTATTCTGTTGAACACACATGTACACTTACATGTGTATGTGCACTTAAATACAGGTACTGGCAATATGAAATTCATTGCTGCTCTTTTGCGCCTTAGAAGATGCTCTTCAGAGGATGTAAAATCAAGTCTCCAGCAGATAAACAACAGAACATAAACAGCTACTCATGGTGATGGTGTGTGGCATGTCTGACATATCAGTGCAGATACTGCAACCAGTTATGGTGTCAGGAGCCAACAGTCTGTATTATGAGGCCATTTGCAAGCTCTCGGGGACATCCTCTCACACAGTCCCTAACAATATCATCTCCTCTGTAGTGCATCTATGCTTCTTGTCCCCTCTATTGCTCTTCAGAGGCTTCCAAAACCCTCAGCTCTCTGCTGGCTAAAGTATTGCTTAATATGCAACCTAAATATGTCTTATTCATTCACACCCACTTGCTCTTATGTCAGTGGTGCTTTTTAGTTTAAATCTCTCTTCTTCCCAGGTGCCTATTTCATGAAATATTTATAGAGAATAAAGCCATTCCCTTTCAGCCTTTTTTTTCACAAGGCTAAGCAGTCCAACTTCCCTTAGTCTTCTCTTCCTGTTTCCCTTTTTATGTTCAGTCTGTTTGGAAGCCTTTACAGGTGTATCCACAATACATTCAGAAGGATGGAGATGTTGATTCATAACCCTTTTCTGAGAACTGAGGGCTTGTTTGTAAAACTGCACCAACCCTTTATCCAGCTGGTATTTGTTACAGTACTCACCATAGTAAAATTCAACTTCTTCACTCCATTCACTCCAGTAGGCCGGGTAGTCTGTATAGTTACACCTCACAGTTGCAACATAATCATAGCCTCTCCTCAAGGAGCTTGCAGTGATTTCAAAGCTTTTTGCCTGGTAGTTAATTGCTTTTACAAAAACCTGAAAAGGAGATGAGAAACTTCCCTTTGGTTTCCTTCTGAGGTGAAGGGTCAGTGACAACAATTAAGTAACAACTGTGTTATGTGTTCAATGGCCCTTCACAAGTGAGCAAATGAATGACTCTGGTGTATGAGACACTGCATTTTGTTGTCATGAGTGGGTGACATTTGTGATATGCCATCAAGCATGTTCTCCCCCTACCAGAAAAAGCCTTGTCCTAAAGTGCTGGGAGGTGGCTGAAATGCCTCAACTGCACCATGGAGTCATGAGCAGCTTCCAGCTTCCTGACGCCTAAGGAGCAAGTTAATTTCAGGGAACAGAAGTGTTTGTATTTTCAATCTCTGCTCTGCCTACTGTGAGCAGCAGACAATTCTGGGGTGACAGGCAGAAGAGTTTCAATCCTTTGAAGCCCTGCTGAACCACTCTGCAGCAACGTGACCTGCAGCAAAACCATTATTCATTAAAAGGTTTCTAGACTTTTCAGAGGACTGTTTAGGCCTGAGAACTCCAGAGAGACAGAAAATGAAGAGACTGGCTTTCTCTTACCTCTGTCGGGTGCTGTTTCCTCCAGTATTTCACTTCATGGATGACTGGCTGTCCAGAGAGCATGGATGGAGGAGAGTAGCTCTCCTCCCAGCTCAGATTGAAATTACCATTTTCAGCTTTCTCAACGGCAAGGTTTTGGGGGGCTCTTGGCTTAACTGCACATTAAAAAAATACAATCAAGAAGAACAGCAATAGCAAAGCACTGAGAGAAGCAGAGACAAACATTCACTAGAGACCAGAATCTCATCACAGTCAATGCATTTAGCCCTTTCACTGTATAGCCCAAGGATATAGAGGCCAAAAAAGAGCAACTGCAAGGTATTCATTAACAAGCACTAACTCTTCAAGCTGGCTGAACAAACTGCAAGTTCAACCTTTCGGTGCACTGGATGCAGCTTTCACCCTGGAAAAACGCAATGATGCAGATGAATGCCTGCCTGAGGTGTGTGACTGACTCTCTGAGTGCCTGAGGTGACAAGTGTTATGAACAAGCACGCTGTTGTAAACAAACAAGGTGCCTGTAGAAAGATATAAACTGTTCCTATGCTCTGTCTTGTGAGGAGCAGGGTCATTACCTTCTTTTCATTGGCTGTTATAATCCAACAGCAATTATTGTAATAATTTCTGCTTGTGGGGATGACTCAATTTGTATGAAAAATCAGAGTGTGGCAGAGGCATGAATGGAAGAAATTTCAGCAAGGATAACGTAGTGTCTTTCTAGAACCTAGAAGTGGCACATTCCTTTTCATCCCTGAATTCCACAGCCACAAGTGAATACACATTAAAGACATGTCTAAGCCCCAGAATTGCTGCTTCCTGCAACTGAGAGGGTACTGCTACAGGAAGAATCACTCCCTACTTGCCTCGTTACTTAGACCCTTAAGAACCTACTCCAGAATCAGGTTTCTAAGCCAAATGGAGTTTGCATTTAAGCCAGCATGACACTTTTCACCTCCAATAAGGGAAAACCATTCCAGTGACTTGAATGAAGAGTCAGCTAGGATTGCAAAGCCTGCAGCCAGATGTCCTGGTGACAAAGTAAACAGCTTCTTACCAACCAGGGCTGGTGTAACACTGTAATTCCACATATCAGTCCCATTGTACTGTAGAGCCAGAATATATGTAAGGCCTGATACAAAATAATCCGGACATATCGTGCAAGTGCACCTTAAACTCTCTTTTCCATTCTTGGGGACACAAACACTGTTTCTGGAAAACAGACAGAAAGTGACATGATGTTTAGAGAGTGTGGCACACTACTTCTTGAAAGGGTGAAATCAAGCTTCCCAATGCGTAGAGCTAATCAAACCTGAGACACATAAGCTCAGTTCCTGGAAATGTTTAGCCCAAACAAATCCAAACCAAAACTGAGCTCCCCCAGACAACCTGTCCTCCTCAGACACCCCTTGGGTATCTGTATTGCACAAATAAAACCTGACAGAGAGGCTGAGGATTGATCTTGAAGAGGGAAAATTGACACCCTTCATCACTCCAACCTCTGAAGGTGCAGACTAACAGCTTGCTAGCATACGAGCAGCTTTACTGTGGTGTACACAGTGAGGTTGTTTGGATGTCTGTGTGCAGAACTCACATGGAGAGGAACAGGAGAGCACAAATGCATCTTCCTTTGTAAGAGATAACAACTGGCCCTGCTGCAAAACAGGGACAACAGCCTGTGTTTGAGCACAAAGTTAGATTGTGAACAGAGATAATCACCTGGGCTGCAGGGGAGAGTACCTTTCACACAGGCTGTGTATGAGGAATCAGGTCAGATTTCTCCTGAAGGAGGTAACATTTTGCATGAAGTTAAGGTCTGGTAAACTTATGCAAGCTTGATCACTCCTCTATTCTAAGTGTGCAGAGGTCTGCAGAAGAACAGACCACTGACCAGCATGCTGCAACCCCTCATCCTCCGGGCAAGAATAATAACCAGGATTACATTTGTCTCAGGCACTCATGGTAGAGGGAAGGGATCAGAGCTGATACCAGCTACAGGACAGATGAAATTTCAACACTGGTAACACCTTATTAAATACTTACGGCAGAGAAAACAATTCCTTCCTGTAGTAGAGAAGGAATTCTTTGGAGCAATTCAAGTGTGCAGGCACCTTCCAGTGACAAACCAGCTCTCTGTCGTAGTCTGTGAAGCACGCGAATTCCTGCACGTGTCCTGCAGCCATGGCTAGGGAGAAGCAGCACACAAGGAGAAGCAAAAGAATAAAAAAACCACTAGGCAGAAACATTCACTTTTCTATCTAAAGGGAGTCACCAATCCCTGTGAGTTCAGAGCAAGCATTGTCATTTTTCATGTTCAAGGTAAATGGAAAGAGATGCAAGTCACCAAAAGTCTCCACCTTTGTGGAGACATTTATTTAGTGCGAGGTGTTCCTGTCCATGGCAGGGGGGCTGGAACTGGATGATCTTAAAGTCCTTTCCAACCCTATTCTGTGATTGTCTATGGCCTGACAGGATAAAGGTCTGTAGTAGTAATAGTAAAATAGAAAGGCACAGCTCAGCCAACATTCTTCCAAGCATAGAAAATCTGATTCTGATAGCTTTTAATTTAATTACAAAACATTTAATTACAAGACAGCTTCATCCTATGCGTTAAATACAACACGTTCAAAAGCCAAAATGTAGATAATTAACAATCCAAAATCACTGCCCACAGGCACGCACCCCTGCTTTACCTACAATGGTTCTAAGCCTCCCACTGCATGTCCTCTGCCTCCCCAGAGCAGTTCCCCCATTGCCTAAAAGAAATTCCTGTCGCAGACTTTCTCCCAGTATACACCTTTTCTTAATTTCACTATTTCCTGTTCTGTCTTCTACTTTTCATTGTTATGATGGTATTCAGAGACCTGGAGAGATTGAGTCACATTGTTCCAGGCAGTGAGAAGGTTCAGCAAAGCTCAAACTCTGCACTCCCAGTGTTCACAATTACAGTCGTCCAATAGCAGCATTTAAGGACACCCCCCTAACCCCCCCGAAAACATTGGTTAAACTCTCTGCCAGTTCTGGGAAGAGAAATGGAATACGCAACCCTCAGCACCCCTCCCTGCCTCATTTTACACTCTTCCCATGCACTTGACATGAGTGAAACAAAGCACAGAGGAGGAGCAGCTGTGCGACAGTAAGGTCATGCAGTTATCAGGACTGATAGTGAGCCAGATATGGGACCAGAACGCAGTAATTCCTAAATGGAGCAGTCAGAAACAGCCACTACTTTCATCATCCCAGACAATTCTTTGCCTGGTCTAATGTTTGACTTCTCTGTTATTGGTAAATATTAACAACAGCTCTCTTTTCCTGCACAACTTGCACAGATCTAAATCTTCTTCTCCTGCTCAACAGTCAACAGAATTTAAAATAGCTTTTGCTGGGGCTTAGAATCCCATTAATTGATATTTTTCTGACAGCTTCCTAAGGGGCTCTGCTAGAACGTTTCCTACAGCAATTATACAAGGGCCAGTTTTGTTCACAAGGCCCAGCACATTACTAACTCTCCATTCTTGCCATTTGCATTGAAAATTCAGGATTAAGTAAGTTGTGAACAAGTCACATCCTGTAAGGTCCTTGTCCTTCAGTCACTGCTTTTTCGCAGGCTTGTTCTTTCCAATCGATACTTAAGTTTCAGATTATTCCTTCCAAGCAAAACCTTTTGTTGTCAAAACCACCTAATTTCATTTAATCCTCCCTTCATTTCTACTTTTCTGTAGTCCACTCATCTAACTTATTCTAACATAATTTCTGATACAGTACAGCATCTGCAAGTATAATAAACATGATGGTCAAATGCCTCTTAAATACATAACATACAACAGGATCTACCAACAGACCTATGGTACTTCAATAACAACCTGACTCAAATGAACCCTTCAGTGTTGAGTGTATGGTCTAGTGTATGGTCTTTCACCTGCATTAAAAAGCACACATCACTTGCACTTGCCTTTCTGCAAGGTCTCCCACAAAACTTGGCTACTAAGCAGGCCTGAGTCACGTGAGTAAACTCAGTCACCTCAGTGAGGCTCACCCATGCCAAGAGGAGGCTTGGCAATGTAAAAGAGCCATTTAAAACTTCTGTACAAATAATCATAGAATCATAGAATAGTTAGGGTTGGAAAGCACCTCAAGATCATCGAGTTCCAACCCCCCTGCCATGGGCAGGGACACCTCGCTCTAAACCACATTACCCAAGGCCTCGTCCAACCTGGCCTTGAACACTGCCAGGGATGGAGCATGAATTGTCTGGTATATCCACTGGTTCTAAACCTGGGCTTGAGGCAGTTCACAGCTTCATTGGTGTTCAGATACTTAGAAAATGTTTTTAGTTAGAACATCAGTTGGCTGGTTGGTTAGAACTATCATTGGTATCCTTTCTGGATAGCAGCACCACATTTTGTTCCCTTTCCTTCTGCACAGTCCCTGATTCTTCAAAAAACCCCACGAATCATCAGAAGAAAGCAGACTTTTGAAGCCTTTTAAAAGATCAACGTCATTATTTTTCAATGTGTTAATGCTCTTACACTCACAAGAACACTTCAACTAAACGAAGCTCCTCCTGCTGCGTTACGCTATGCTGACTTGCAGCTTTGCTTTACCTTTCAGTGTCCTCAGGTCTTTCCAGATCTGTACATTATTTTCTCTACTCTTTTCCTGTGACCTCCCTTTTCATCTCTGGTACACTGTACTTTGTTTAAACCTCAGACATAGGAGAATTTCCTTTTGAAACCACATACAGCACAGAGGTTGATTTCAGTTCATGCAGTTAAAAAAGGGAACTGAAATACTGGATTTATTTTTTAATCCCCAACTAGAACATCATGCTGAAGAAACCTGAAACATGCAGTTAATCAGGGAAAAAATGTGAAAAATTGAACCTTGATAAAGGTGATTTACAGAAAACAGGGGATGTGTTTTACTTTCATGGGATTTCTACAGAGATGTCCCTGGGTTACTGCTGAGCACCTTGTTTGGAGCAAAATGTCCAAAAGGGGTTAGGTAATGGTGAACCAGGGAGATACATTCCAAACTTCAGTTCCTCCTTCCTGCAAATTCCTGCTTTGTCTTGCCTATATGGAAAAGGTAAATAAAAACAAAACAAAAAAAACCCAACCAAAACCCTTGAACTTGCCCTAGGGTATTTCTGACACATCTTATAGTAGCTAATGAATCATAACGCTGTTGCCTACTGGCCAGGGAAAATGCTGCTGATAAAAACCTCAGAATAATCATTGAAAACATTGACAAATGTACCTTCATTTGTTGTATATGAAAAGAAAAGGATCCACAGGGTATGCGGTGCAGCACTTGGAAGCCTTGCCATCGCTGACACTGGCCAGGCTCTGCAGGACAAGCTGTGTTGAAATCCTGCCAACAGAAAACATTATTACAAGCTTACATCAGTGTTCCAGTGAAGGTAAAGGTGTAGTTCTTCTTATTGCTTCTGCTAGATGTTAGGATTCAGATTCTCTGCAGCGCCTCATCCCCCTAAAGTCAGCTCATGGAACAACGAGAAGTGTACAAGAATAATGCAAATGAGCTCAAAGACTTTTCTGCAGAGTTTGAATTGCAGGATCCTAGATGGCATTGGAGACACCCATTTTAGCGACCAGAAAAACAAAGCTGCCAGTGAGGTATTGAAAGGGTAAAAGACTAGACCAAGATCACTGAGAAGCAACACATTCCCAAAGCCTTATGATTCCACTCAGATAACTGGAAGAATCTAAGCATAAAGTGTCTGTCCTATCTACTAAAGTGTTTTCCCCAATAATCACAGTATCCCAATAATATCATTCTCTTGAAAAAGATTTTAGCAAAGACCTCTGAGCCCTGCTTCAGCAGAATGCAGATTCATTAAACCAGTAAATAATTAGAAGCTGTGAAACACATACCTAAGTCATGATATAACCAGCACAATTTTGGAGAGGAAAATTATGCACCTTTCACATATTAGAATTCTTAAGCACAGCAAAGCTGCTCAAGTGAACTGAAACTGATGAAATAATTCATTTAAGAATCTCAAAACACATGATTCCCCAAGATTCTTTTGCTGATGCAGCACAGGCACATAGTGGAATATCGTATTTTGGATTAGCTAAATGTTCATGCTATTAGAAACATACCCAATGCAGTTAAGATTTTGAGGTTTTCACATTTTGGGAACAAAACATGACTGAGCATAGTAATAATTATTTGAGAAGAACACAAATGCTTTTGCTGCTGCTCAGAAAAAAAAAAAAAAAAAAAAAGAGCAAACAGTTCCAGCATACAAAACTCCTTCAGCTTTCCCCAGTTTTTCCTGGAATTCCCAAGAGAGGAAGTGTTTGCTTCCCAACCCATTGTTAAGTAACTGCTGCATGACTGAAGTTCCAAGAAACTGCAAAGTTTGGCAGAGAGTCCTGCATCACGCAAGCCTGTGTGAATCAGAGACGGCACAGCAAAACCATCTCCCCCGGAGGAGGGAAGCTCTGCGCATGCAGCAAGCGGCAGTACCCCGCGGCTCCAGCTGCAAACCCTGGGAAAACAAAACCAGAAGCTTTCTTTTTGTAACGGCAGTGGACGATGAACTCGATGCAAAGGAAGATGTTAACAGGGAACAGCTTTCCTGTCTGCTAGCCCTTACGCTTGCCTCACACAGGATTTCCTGTCTTGTATGATCACTAAAGAAGAAACTGTACTTCAGATTGGTGGATTTTAACGGACCAAGCCATTTTTTATTCTTTTAAAATGACTGATTTTACTAATATTTTAATGTCCTTTTAATCCTCATTCCACAAGTTCCTTCATGTAATTTGGGATACCTCGAGCTAATGCCTTACACAACAACACACAAAGGGTATCTGCGTCTCTGGAGCTGGACGGGGCACATCCGGACAAACCTCTACTGACAGATACCGGGACGGCCTCTCAAAATGAGCAATGGGCTCTCTTGGAAAAACATGGGTCGAGTTAGATTTAGGCGATGACCTCAGCTGCGGTTCCTGCTCTCCAGCATGCCCTCATACCGAGACGACACAAGTCAGCTAAGGGGATAAAGACGCGGCACCCCCGCAGCGGGACGGGCCGCAGGTCGAGCCCTGCGGGTGAGCCGTTACTGCAGAGACCGAACCGGGACAGGCTGGAAACAAAACCCGCTCGAAGTGCAAACCGCGAGCCCCACAGCGCGGGGCAGGAGCCCGTGCTCCGCCACCTCGCCCCGCACCCGCCGGGCGGTATTCCAGCAGAAAGGGCATTTCTGGGAATTCCACCGGTTCTGTCGGCAGCCGCCTCAGCGCCCGAGTCCAGCGGCCGAGGGAAGGGACAAGGGAAATCGGCGGCGGCGCTTCCCCGGCCCCGCCGCCCCGGGACATTCCGAGCAGCACCCGGAGCTCCGCCCGTGCCCCCCCCCCGCCGCACCGTGCACAGCGGGCGCCTGTTCGGGCCCGGCGGAGGCAATGGAGGCCCCGGCCGCAATACGCGCGAACCCGGCCCCGCCACAGCTCGCAACAGGGAGGAGCCGGCGCGGCCACCGAGCCGGGAAGGGCGGAGGAGCCGCCGGAGGTACCTGGCCTGGTCCGGGTCCGGGTCCGGGTCCTGCTCGGCGCGGCGAGCTCCCGCGACAGGCCTTCAGTCTGGACCGGGCCGATACCGACCCCAGGCCACCTGCGGGGCCCCCGGACACGGGCGATGCACTCCCCAGGGCCGTGTCCTCCGCCCCAAACGGAGCGGAGCCCAGCGCTGCCCCTGCCAGAGCGGCGGAAACGCCTCCCACCGCCGGACGCCGCTTAACGCACGACGGGGAGGGGCGGGGCCACCCCCGCAGGGGCGTCACGGGGCGGGCCCCGCGCGGAGCCGATCGATCGCAGGCGGCTGCAGCGATCGCCGAAGGATCGAGCGCGGGGAGCGGGAGCCGCGGCGGCGGCCGCGGCCGCCCGAGGCTTCACCGGCGGGTTGGGCAGGAGCCCGAGGCCGAGCGGGCGGCGAAGCAGCGGTGCCGGGAGGCCGGAGGCTGTCGTTCGTTCTTGTTGAAGAGGAGCCGAGGACGCTTTGTCACCCTGCCCGAGCAGCTCCCGCGCCCGGGTCTGCTTCCCGCGCTCGGCCGGCGCTGCCGAGTGCCGGAGAGGGACCTCGGCCTGGGCCTCGCAGGGGCGCGGAAGCTTTGTCGTTCTGGTGAGCCGTTAGCGGTGGTTTGGCTGCAGCGGTCAAGGGTGTCTGGAGATGCGTTTATTTAGTTCCGGTGATGTTCAGGACGTTTGGGGGGGGGGGGGGTCTGTCCGGAGCAAGCCGCACTCCTCATTGCACAGGTCACCGGGATATGTGATGAGCAGAAGCATCAACACAAATCGTGCAAGGTGTTGGTGGTTACAGATACAGCACTGCCATGTCCAGCGTGGGTATGAGAGAACAGTGCCTATGTTCGTCTCTTCTGTAGCTAAAATTAGTTGGACTTTATCTTTTGCATCCTTCTAAAAGCTTGGAGTTAGTCACTGTCTGTGTCCTGAGAACAACCTGGGGGTTTTCTTTTTGCCCTGAGTCAGCGTCAGTTTAATTGAATTCTCTGTGTGCTTGCAGTGTGCGTTCTCCATCTGCATGAACATGTGCACTGATAATGCGTACGCCTCTTGCAGCATTCAGAGCCTGGTGGAGTATTGCAATGGCAGCTCAGATGACTGATGCTCACCGACAGTTCCTGCAGGTCCTGATGTCTCATGGGATAATGGAAGGATCCGAGGCAAGGAAATTACACAGACACTGCTGTGAAGTCCATAACGGTGTGTCTCTCATTTGGGGAAAAAGTGGGGAGATGGAAGAACTGTTTTTTTCCTGGTTACAAATAATTATATTTCTGAAAAGCATGTGCCATCTAAAGAAAGTTTAGTGATGGGAGTGTTCTCACAAGGAATGTTCAAGAACCAAAAGTGTCATTTTAAAGGAAACACCCAAATCACTGATTTTAAACCATTATTATTGAAAGGCAGGTAACTCCAGCAGGCATTGTTTTAAATTACACATCCTGAGATCTAGCATGCACTGAATATATGAGTGCAGCACAACTCACTGACTTGCATTCTGAAAACACGTTGGACATCTGATTACAGCATTAGCTGAGTTGCATTTTATGCCCTACAGAAGGAAGTAATTTATTTCTGTCACAAAAAATAATTTGCAGCAATTGTAAATTTTCTTTTTTTTTTTTTAAAGGTACTACATTTTACAGTGGGAGTTATTAGAAATTCAGACATTACAGTTTAATCCAGTGCTCTGGAAGTAGGGTAGTCCTGGCAGAATGTCTGGGAGCTGAGCTTCTCTGAAGGCAGTAGTCAGCAGCAGAATAAAATGACCTATCTGCTAAACACAACAGGCCTGTTTGAATGCTGCCTTATTAAGTTCAGTTCCTTACCAAGTTACACTAAAGTTTCAGCAGATAAAACACACAAAGATCTGTCTGATGTGGAGCTGTTTGGGTTGTTTGTCTATGTGCTCTTTCTTATTTATTTTCAGTCTACTATGCGCATGATAAACTGGCTGACTTCATCAGTACCATCAACAGGCATCTACAGCCTTTTTTTATGCAGATCCGGAAGGGACTGTCCGAAGATGATGGGAGAGCGCATTATGCTTTAGTAAGTACATACATGATGCTGCCATCACCTGGTTTAAGTGGGGCTGTGCCTGTTATGCTGGCAGCTGCTGTAGAAACTACTTGAAGAGGGAAATGGGAGGATAAACTGCCAACAACTGAGGTGCATGGAAATGGAACACTGCAGCAGGACTGCAGCAGTGCTCGTTTATTTAGCATTAACACTGCTGATGTGAGATTCCTTTTTCACAGGGGCTTTCTTTCACAAGACTAACTTTTAAGCCAGAAAACACAGACAGCCCCCCAACATAGTTTTGTCTCTTAGTCAAAAATCAACCTAGCATAAAAGGGTTCCTAAGGAACGACCTATAAAAGTTTCCCAAAATGCTGTGCATTGTGCATGTCAGAGAGGGAAAGTTATATAGGAATTTCAGAAGACTGTACAGAAGGTGTTCTAACATCAGCTGCTGCTTTAACCTTTCTGGATCATTTTGCCAATTTAGTTGAGCTAACAATCAATAGCAGTAGCATATGCAGTAAGAATACGAAATAACAGCAACTGTTCTTCAGAGCAAAACAAGAATGGCTACGATAATGTAGTTACTGCTACTGTCCAGCACAGTATCCTGGTGTTCTACTACATGGAACTAATATCCTGTATTAGAGCTATATGGGGGAGGTTGGGCTGTTTAAGAGCTTGGACTGGGCAGAGAGAGCTGTGGAGAACATGTGGCTGGAAGATCAGTCCTGAAGAAAGGACTCGAGTACTACCAAGTGCCATCTTTAAGGAACAGCCTCTTTCATGCCACTTAAAGAAACGACATTTCTGTGAATTGATGTATTCTTTACCCCAGAGGATCTTTTACAATTTATGTTGCAGAAACACAAAGGCAACTTTGATGGCAATTTAAGTATTATTTTCTTTTTTGTAGGTGAATTTGGCAGAAACTGAAATAACTAAAATGGCATCTGACTATACTGAAAATGAATTAGAATTGTTCAGAAAAACAGTAAGTGCCTTAGTTATTAGGTAGCAAATCACATTATTTGTGGAGGTACCATCTTAAAACACATGAAAACGGAAGTGATTTTTTCCACACTCATGAAGTTTTCTGTACAAACTGGCAAGAGGTGCATTGCCTGTGCTGTGCCACCTGCAAAGCCTAGTCTGCATGGACAGAACCCACAGATTTCCCTGCCTTCCCCCATAACTAGTGAAGCACCTCAGCAGGCCTGTCAGCACTGCAGTGATGGCAGTCATGGCAAAAAGTGAGAGATTCTGCAGATTGGTAACACTGTTACAGCCTTCAAATGCCAGGTAAGTTCAGCAGTGCTGCTGACTCCAGCATGGGCAAACTTAACACTTACTGGAGTAGGGAGAGGGTCTTCCTCAAAAGAACCTTCACAAAGACCAAGTAAAAGAAAGTGGATCTCTTACCGCCGAGTACGCTCCAGGTCCCTGAATGCAGCTTCATTCAGGCAGCACTGTACAGTTGTGGAAACATTTTCCTGGCAGGGATTAAAGCTGTCAAAGTACTGACAGCTGTTTCAGCTTTTGGCCTTTGTGTTACAGTTCTGGACCAAGCCATACACTGTAATCTGTCTCCTATGTTTGGAAGCTAAAAAAGCTGCACGTTACTATAAGGTGTGTCTGTCTAATTGCATGGGTGTTTTTAATAGTTGAACGTATTTCTTTCTGTAGATGGACCTAATCATTTTATCAGAAAATGGCTTTGCCCCTTCTACAGATATTTTAAACTTGGCTGACCAACTTAAGACAAAGAAAATGAAGAAAAAAGAAGCGGAACAAGTGCTGAAAGTTTTTGTGGAGGATAAGTGGCTCTCTGAGGTAACTGCTGTTATCTTCAAGTGTCTGTATGTTAATAGGTGCAGCTAAAACTTTCTTATGGATGAAACTGGAGCTTGCTTTAATGAATGACAGCAAAAATGTTTTTGTGGAGCATGTGCTTATTGCTGCTTCAGTGTTCGTTGCAGAAAAGGTAGTACATTGACAAGGAAGAAGTCCTTGGGTAGGTCTACACAGGACATGATTGTAGTTCCTTGCCCGTGAGCTAGATGCCTATGTGTGTACAGCCCTGCACTGTGGCATAGAGACCTCCTTGGTTCACAACAGCATGGCTTACTTAAACTTGGAACAAGACCTGAGGAAAGCTTTTCAGGGTGATCAGTGCCATTATGGTTAAGGTAAATGTCAATTGTAACTGTTAGGTTTATAATATCCTGAAAAGCTGTGAGGCCAAACATGTTGAAAACTCCTGTGCCAGAAATGCATGGGCATAAAAATGTGCACATTTTTAAATCTCCTTTAATTTTCATGAGGGAGAAACCAAGATGAGCTTACCACATGGACACTGCAGTTGCTTGTCAGAGGACAAGTGAGACCTCCATCCTTTTAGTTCTGGATTCCTTGCGTCAGTCTCTAGCCTGCTGCCACATGTTTACTTTTGTTGGTAATTTAGCAGAGATTTTCAAAGATACCTCAAGCAGCGAATGCCTTGATTTTGCTGAAAGCCAACAGGATTTCTGCTAATGGGCAAATGGAAGGTCCAAAAACTGCATATCTTTAAGGAGAGCATGCCCACTAATACATGCCTTCTTAGGACTAGATAAATCTCTGTAGAAGGTGTGAGATCTTTATTCTGATCCTCTAAACACATTAATTCTGCTACCTCAAAAGTATTTTGACTTTGCATTGCATCAGTGTCAGCATGTTGGTTTCATGACGGCAGAAGAAAGTGGATGTCAAATGTTTGCCAGCAGCTGACCAGGAATGTCACGAAGGTAAAAGGAATTAAAAGAAATTCCTCATCTTGTCACTTGTTTCCTTAGAGAAATGGAGAATTTACCCTGCATACTCGCTGCATAATTGAGATGGAACAATACATTCTCAGCAACTACCAAGATGTGGCAAGGAAATGTAACATCTGTCACAGCCTTGCCATCCAGGTAACATTTATTTTATTACCTCAGTGGGCATCTGCCAATGTACCATGGGAGTATATCCATGTTAGTGTTTCCATCCCAGATGTCTCCTTCATTGCATCCAAATTACCTCAGCATAGTTTGTCTTTCAAGCAGATTTTGCCCATAAAGGGAAATAGTATTTCCTAGTTTCCAGGAAAATACCTCCTTTATCATTTAGCAGCTTTGAGTATCTACACCAGCCCCAGTGCGTGTCTGCTGCCCTTTTCACAAGGTTAAACTGAAGCACAGATTATAAAGACTTTTTTCAATGCTTTTGATTTCAGAGCCAAGTATGTGAATCCTGTGGAACTGGAATGCATTTACCTTGCATCAGAAAGTATTTTAGAGCTCAGACTGAACCTCGCTGTCCACAGTGTAATGATTTCTGGACTTGTGACATCCCAGGTACCAAGAACCTATTTAAAACAAAAAAAGATGAGTAAAATAATACTCAAGGGGCTGATACCCAGGGCACTGCCTATGTTAGTGACAGCTCTAGCAGGGTTGCCAGTTATTTCTGACTTCAGTTGTATGTTTCATAGAGCAAACCATACAGGGGCAACACTGAGCCCTGAAAACACCAGGGTTATGCCTTGTGGTCATGAGCAGGTAATGTGCATATCGTTTGTAACAGGAGAGCAGGGGACACAGCACATCACACTAAAACCTTTGGAAATACTGAGCTCCCAAGACCACCACAATCTCTTTGGAATTCCTTTATTTAGCCAGGGAAACTGGACACTGAACAGGAACACAGGAGTGTATAGAGCATTTTAGAAATCCGGAGGTTATATAGTATCAACCTTTTCTATGTGTCTGTCATTGACCTTCCTTTTGGTTTTTCTCCACAGGAGTGAGTCGCACAGACACCCAGTCACCACCGAAACCAGCGCGAACAGAGAAGAGCTTCATGCTCAGCACGAGACGATCCTAGGAAAACTGGATTTGACTAAAATCTCTTTTCCCCACTCCTGCAGCACAGCCAGGCTTGTACTGCATTCATTAGCAACAATGCAGAGATCAGCGTGCTTGGTTTTTCCTCAAACTTTTAAGAATTTTACAATAAAATTATCATTGACCTTCCTGTGCTCCTTCAGTTATGCCTGCACAGCTTTTTTGGAGGCTGTTGTGTTTGTAGTTCTCCATGCTCTTGGGCTGGGACACAACTGAAAATGAAACCTGTTTCTAGCATCACAGGGCTTCAAGCAGCTGAAAAATCAATGCAGTACTTGTGGTGTCGCACTAAGGTGGACAGCTGAATATCTGACCTAGGGCTAGAGTATGAATGCTTTCAGTGGGCACTCTTGCTTGGGTCTTTTTCCTTCTGGAGACACAGGAGGACAGTTTGTGAGCAGCTGTGCTCAGTAAAAGAGGGAATATTCCCACAGTCAAAATGATTGGGTGGGAGCTGGGCAAAACTAGGGCAATGGCAGCTTTTGTATGTGAAGTGTGGAAAAAAAATGTAATTAAAATTAGCTTTTAGTATTAGCACTTCACTGTCCAGTTTTATGCAAGGATGCTTTTTACTTTAATAGTGACTTAAAAATAACAGAAGGGTCAAATCTTGCCAGGTACCAGTGTGGAATGGCAGCACATCTGCAGAAGGCAGATATTCAAAACATGATTAAGCTTCAGTTTATGTAACTGCAATTAAACTGTGGATTGGCCACAATTAATTAAGTTCCTAGGTCTTAACACTGGTAAGCTCTTCTGTATAGGAGATTGGCATCTTGCTACCTGTGGGTAGTACTATCCCTCACTGGGATTTACACCCTGCTTGTGTAACTCCCAGTTTGTTATTAAATCCAAGTAGAAGATAACACTAACCTGATGTGCCAAATTCAATTAGAAGCAGAGTCCTGGCAATGGCCATAGAGCTGTTTCAGATACACACACATATGATGATAACCTAACATAAGCTCTTTGTGAGGCGTTCATATTTGAAACACCCACAACAATAAAGTGGCTGCAGCATCTTCTTTCTGTTTATCCATCCAGATTCTTTCACCATGCTGAAGCATGAGTTTGTTGGGTTTTTTAATCCACCTCTACCTTCTGGGTAGGGAAGAACATTCTTGTACTTAAGACGAATTCTTAATTCCTGTTGCAATGCTAACAGACTTTCTGCATGCTTCAGAGCTATGACCACCAGAAGCTGACTGAGAAGCTGACATCAAGCGATCGTACATAGTGCCAATATTTAACTGGAATAAACAGAACCTGCCCAGGCATCAGAACACAGGATTGAAACGCAGCCTTTCTGAAATTGGGGAACTTAACTAAGTCAGGGTCTTCCACATCAACCTATGAAAAAACAAAACAATCCATCATCAGTAGCATCTCTTTTTTCAAATTCAATTTGATAAAACAACATTTTACTGATACTAAAATTCCAGGTAACTATTTACCTGACTGGTGTTGTGAAGAATATGACTTTCATGTGGGTACAGGTTTTCTGAATCTTGTGGTGAATACAGGCGGATATACTTCCTTCCAAATACCTGTGTATATGACAGTAAACATTTTCCATGTGTCATTAACCTGCACATCACATTACAAACTGTGGCCAAGGCTGGCACTTCAGAGTGAAATAGACCTGATTACAAGAAATATCACTGTCTTTGTTCACAATAAACAGACACTGCTATAATAAAAAGTTAACTTAGACTATTGGAGCTGTAAAAACTCACATTAGGAAGGCCTGAATTAAGCCTCAGTTACAAGTGAAAACACAGGTTAGCAAGATGCAACTGTTTGGGACAGAGCAACTAAGCCTCGACCCATAAACAGACAAGTAGAAAGCATTCAACATCATGATCCTCCTGGAAGATGTTTCAAAGTGTAAGCCATTTAAGAAACAGCAAACTCCTTCCAGTAAACACAAATCCCATCAGGGTCTGAAGCTGTCAGCTGCCTGGACCAGGAATACATCTTTGAACTTGCATATAGACATACCACACAGGGCCCCAGTGCGTATCTGTGTCACTCTGAAGCCTACAAACAGCATCTTCCTTAGCAGCAATGAGTTCACGGTGCAAATACTACTTCATCTGACTCAATGCATGCATGAGTAGGTATTTTACCAGGTAGCCTGAAGTTGTTAAAGTATGCACCTATATCCACCCCAAAATCTTGCAGTTATGGAAAAGCAAATTCCTTGGTATACGATGACAGGATCTATGTTCTTTCCAACTCTTACAAAATCTGTGTGTGTCCCTGGAAAAGCTGCTTCTTGTGATTCCCAATTATCAGCTGCAAACTGAAGATAAGTAATGATCTATCTCAATGAGGAGCACTTGTGGCCTACAAGATTAAGTTGCAGTAGCAACTAATGCAATAGAATAGCAAAACAATATCTGCATATCCCCTACCCTTCAATTGTTCATCAAGTTGTCTGCTACCCTTGTCTCTAGCACACCGTGAGCACTTTTCCTAGGTAAAGCATTAACAGCATGTACAGAGTTATCACAGTACAGACCTGGGCTAAAAAATTTTGCTGGGGATCCTGATGAAGAGGTGAGATAGTGCCTTCTGGACCAAACCAAGCGTTGATGGTGATGTGCTCTTCCTCCCCTTCCCCCAGGCAGCAGTAGTCGGGGATACTGATATCTTCTTTCAGTTCCGGGATCTATTGCCATAAAGAAATAGACATTAAAAGGGTTTCTGCTGACTTGCTAAAGGTATGTCATTCACAGAACATAGGAACAAGGCTTGACATGAAGAAAACAAATGACCTGCTTGTCCAGGAAAGGCGGGAGAGAAGTAGCTGAACTGCTAGGAACCTGCAGGAAGTGTCCTCCCACCTTCCGTCCTAGCAAGCAGATTCTGTTGGAGAGGTGGGAGAAAGAAAGGGGTTTCTCATTCTTCAGAGAATCTCTGCGAGATCCTTTGTTACATCTCCCGTCAACCTGATCTCTGGTTAACGGGAATGACATTTCAGAATATGGTGAACATATCACCACTGAAGCCTGTTTCTTGTCCAAACCTACTCCCTGATTTACATATTCTTTAGGGAAATGCTGCTTTCCAGTTGATATCCCTATATGTTTATGATGCATTGTACTGAAAAGCACTAAGACTGAATGTCCTTGCCCCTGAAAGAGTTTTTTTCCATGCCTTTTGGCCAAATGGACAAACCCCTCCCTCTGTTCCTTCAAACTGTGGGACTAGAAACATAAGAAATACTACGAATTCTCCATATGCCCTTCCATCTAGCAGAGCTGACATCCTCAGAGATGACAAAAGGAACACTGGACTGCAGAAAGATAAAAACATTCACCCAGTTTTACCTGATCAAAGAGCTGGTGCTGGGCAAGGTATCCCACACTCTTCTGAAATCACAGCAGAGAAAGAAAAAAAAACAGAAACAGAGAGTGACACATAGGTAAGAATTCTCAGTCAATTCATTTTCTTATAGGTGAGCAGAATTTACTTATAGGAAACCACTATTTCCTGTTTCTGTCTGTTTCAGAGTACTAGAATTGTTTCAACAGTTGACTAGGATAAGGGGTCTTCTGAAATAGTGATTTCCAGCTATCGCAAAAAGGCAAGTGCAGCGGTATCCCCACCTCCAATACATGAGCTCGCCCAAAGCAGCCCAGTTATAACACTGCAGCGCCCACCAGCTCTGCTGCCAGTCCTGTGACAGTGCTCTGCATCATTACTGCCAGGCCCTGCTGGAACACAGACCACCTCTGTAAGCATCCTGGATTCCAGGCTGTACCACAGACCATGTGCACATGGTCCTCCCTGCCAGAAGGCTTGGAAATGAGGGCTTTGGATCCTCAGCTGGGAAAGTCAAGGGACATTTAATTGCTAATCAAGTCTTTATTCTTTCAACTGGTGGCACAGGAATTTGGATCCTACATCTCACTAAACAGTTTATTAACCAAGAGAAACGAAACTGCTGGCTGAGTGTCCCTTATCCTTAGACTCTGCCACTCAGGTTTGTGCTGCAGAAGGTATTCATCTATTCATCAAATTCCAGCTGCTGTACACTTGATTATATATAAAAATCAAACCTAGCTATTGTTACAATAACTATTAGTAGGTTCAGACCTTGAAAACATCAAACCTTCTAATTCAGGGTTGTGGTTATAGCACACCCCTCCCTGACTTTACCTAAGCAGAAATTTGGTACCAGTAACATATTGCTGTATGAACCAAAATGAGAGTAACAGACCTCATTCACAATATACTGGCTGATGAAGTCACCAACAGTCATGAGCTTCTGAGACCATTCCTCATCTGTGTATCGGGTGCCCAATTCCACAGGCACTGTGCGGCACCCAGCGACTTGACAGAAATAGTCCACACTGAAATAAAGTAAGTTCCGTTACCCCTTTATTCTGCTGCTCTTACTGATTTTGAATGCAAGGCAATCGAGCAAAATCTATCTTTTAGAGTAATAAAGCTCTACTACCATGAAGTTTTTCGCTCTAAAACCAACCAATGAGACACAAAAAGGCACCAGAAAAGTATGAAAGCAACAAGGAAACAAGCAGTCAGGTTTGTGTGTACATTATGCCACAATGTCCTTCTTGTTTTGTTTGCAAACATTGTTCACCTCAGTTAACTATTGCTTCCTACCAGCTGAGATGTAAGCTGTTAGTCCCTCTTGCCTAGAGATGGCTTATCTTCCTACTGCCTGCTGCCACATTTGCTAAACACGTTTTACGTTTTCATCATTGTGCCAGATCAGCTCTCCATCAGGGCCAAACTCTGCAAGTGGCAGTAATACCCATCCTGGCTAAAGGTGGGAGAGTTACTTTGGAGGGTGGCATACAGCTCACCACTGACAATGACATTCACTAAACAGAGACATTCATCTTTTAAAGTGTCTGAAGTTAAGCAGTGGAAAACCTTCCCTCAAAACAGAACAAACCCCCTATGAAACAAGCGCGTTTGGTTAACGTCAATTCCACCCTTGGCTGGAATGAAAGCAACTGCTCGAACTAAGCAGAAGTGTTGTTTCCCCTTTTCTAGGGAATCATGAGCTTTACCTCAGGAACACCCGGTTCTCAGTGCTGGAAACGCAGGCTCCTTTGCTTACACGGCCCAGGCCGCAGAGTTACCCCTCACTGCTGAATGGCGGTGTCCGGAGCTCAGCATTCACACGCGCCCCGCGAAGGAGCCGCTCGCACCGACCCGCACCTCCGCAATTCCCTTTCCGAGCTCCAAACCCCGCTGCTGCGCCTGACCCCGGCACGCGGGGCTCCCACGCCATACCGGCCACAGAACGACCCCCCAGGCCAGGGCACAGCCTCCTCTCCTCACCTCCACTTCCTCATGCACGGCCAGTGGTCCATGATCCCCTCCAGCACCACGGGCTTCTGCGGGATGAGGTAGTTGTCTCGGAAGTGCTCCAGCGAAGGGCACCGCAGCCGCGGGACCTCGTCCTCCGGCCGCACGGCAGGGGCGGGGCGAGGCTCGGTCCGGGCGCTCTGCAACACCGGGTTGGGTCCCGCAGCTGCCAGCCGCGGCCCCGCCGAGCCCCGGCCCGGCCCGGGGGGGAGAGCAGGGACAGAGAAGGCGGGCGGGGGAGCGCGCGGGGGGCCGGGCCCCTCAGGCCGTACCTCAGCGGCCAGCCCGGCCGCGCCGCGCCGCTGCTCCCGGGGCAGGTGCTGCTGCAGGACGCGGACGAGGCGCGCGAGGACGTTGTCCAGGACGGAGGCGCCCATGAGCAGCCCCATGTCGCAGAGGCGGACGGCGGGCGCGAGCGGGCGGCCCGCGGCGACCTCGGCCAGCGCCCCGAAGAGGCAGCCGTAGGTGTAGACCTGCCGCCAGGCCTTGCTCACCTCCCGCCACGGGCCCGTGTTCAGCTTCTCCCACGAGTAGTCCCGCAGGATGTCGCCCAGGCGCCTCAGCGCCGCCGCCGCCTCCTCCCCGGGCCGGCCCTCCGCGCCGTACAGCAGCCCGCGGGCCCGCCGCAGCAGCGGCCGCACGCAGGCGTCCACCTCTCCGCTCAGCGCCAAGGTGAGCTCCTCCTCGGTGCCGGGCAGCAGCGCCCACACCTCGGCCCAGAGCGCGCCGCCCGCCGCGGGGCCGGCAGCCGGACCCCCACGACCAACGGCTGCCGCCATGGCGGCGCGACGCTGCCGGGCCTGCGCGTGCCCTGGGGGCGGGGTGAGGCGGGGCAGGCCCCAGCGGAGCGGCCGGCACGGGGCGGGGTGGGGCGGGGCCGCTCTCCCGCTGCTCGATCCCGCCCCCGGCTCCGCCCCGCGCCGGGATATCCCGGGGAGATGCTCCACTCCCTTCATCATCTTAGTTGCCCTGCGCTGGACTCTCTCCAGCAGGTCCCTGTCCTTTTTAAACTGAGGGGCCCAGAACTGGACACAGTATTCCAGATGAGGTCTCACCAGGGCAGAGTAGAGGGGAAGGAGGACCTCTCTCGACCTACTAACCACCCCCCTTCTAATACACCCCAGGATGCCATTGGCCTTCTTGGCCACAAGGGCACAGTGTCGGCTCATAGTCACCCTGTCGTCCACCAGGACCCAGTCACCGCCCGGTTCCTCACGTAACCGGCTTTGCCTCTGCAGCCGTGGAGGCAGCGGCAGCGGGCTCAGCGGGGTGAGGCGAGCGGAGCCTGCCCTTTCGGAGGCGTTGCTGGTTTTTCGGGTTAAAGACTCCGTGAAGCTGCAGCGCAGGCCTACCGCGGGCAGTGGAGCACCAGTAAAACTCTCTCCAGGTGGTGCTATTTGGGCTCTTGTCCAGTGGCTCTGTTGGAATTCAGTAACTGTATAACTGGTGCAGCTGTTTGTGTTAAAGAGAAGCGTGTAAATCCGATGTAGTCTTATTTCTGCTGTACCTGACACCTTAACTATACAGCCATGGTATGAGGAAGATAGCTGTTTTCACTTTGGAAGTCACCCTGTTCTGAAAAGTGGATAGCTATTCACAAGTAGATGACTACTGTAAGATGAGGAGGTGCTCTAATCAATGTTGTTCTCAAATATTAGAAAGCAAGCCTGTCTGGGACCTTCTGTGCTGAGTAATTTGAGAGGAGCCTGGAAGCGTCAGGGTTGAACACTGCTGCGAGGCAGTGTCCTTTGGGTTGTTCATGCTGCGTGGTTTTAATCTATACTTAGGTCGTGCTTGCTGTGTGGAATACGCACCTCAGGCTTGTAGCGCACTTCACACAACATCTTTCAGCCCCACTTTGCTTTGATAATGTGTCCTGAGCATGCTTTCAGTACCTCATATGGGACTGTAAATATTATTTTGCTTAAAAGTCAGCAATTCTGAGGACAGTCTTAACATCACGAGCCAAAATTTCAAGCAACATAACAAGAAAAGAGGAATTTGTAACTCATGAGATGGTGTCGCTTGCCTGGGGTTGAAATCTGGCTTGATGCAAAATCCTACTTTTACAGAAAAAAGTTAAACCCGTCACCTTTTGTACTGAGAGAGCACCCATTCCTCTGTCCCCCCCCCTGCTCAGTGGCTACTAGTGCCTCTGAAGAAAGAGTTGCTGTGAGTCCTGTCTCTGCTGCTCATGCCTCTTCTCTGCCCCATTTCCTGCTGTCTGGTTTGAATGACTTCCATCACACTTCAGCAGCTTATCCTGCTGGCCCGTCTGTCCTCCATCTCCTTTCTCTTGGCACCTAAATTCGTCCTGTGACTGTGATTTTAGCACCTTCATTTAGAATTTTCTTCTCTTTGATTGCTAAATGTTAATTTATGCTGCTGTAGGGGAATTATTGAGCTGTCAAGGAAAACTTCTTCTTAGACCTTGTGTTCAATATTTGTAGTTTGTTTTTCTGGGCTTGTGCTTATAGACTGCCCAATTTTTATTGCCATTTTTAGTAACTTTTATTCCTCTTTAAGTTTGTTCATGCAGTTCTTGCTTAAGGGTAGTTTTCCTAGCTTAAATGCTAGGATTTTTTCCCCAAAAGATTACATTTTGGAGGTTTGGATTTTCCTTCTGGTATTTTAAATAGCACCAAGTTCTGAACATGCTATCTCTAGTGCAATGGTGGAGTGTGAAGCTTATGATGAACTTTATCAGTTTTAGTGTAGGTGAGGAAGTATTGGGTAGATTTTAGGTTTTGGGTATTCAGGGAGGTTCAGTGTTTCTCTAGTTATTTCCTTATGACAGTGTTTCTCTAGTCATTTTGGTACAATGGTTTAAATGCTGACATAGCATCAATAGTCTTGAAAGGGCTGAGCTGTGTATCTGCTAAGCTAATAAGGACAGGATTTCAGATGTGAAGCCTTGTAGTGTGTGAGTTTGGCTTTTAGTCTAGGGGGAAAATCCACTAAAAGCTCATAATATTGTGCTCTATGGTAGCAATTTGTTGGAATTGTCTTCATTGGGAAAATCCCAACAGATTTGCAGAAGCTGAACTGGGAAGTTTTGCTGTCAGAGTAATTGACCTTGCAGTATATGTGTACTAGTGTAGAAATGGCTGTAAACTAATGCAGATGGGGGTTTTGTGAGCTGTCTGACCAGGAAGCAGAGCACTTCAGTGTTAGATGTTTCCATTTTAAGTCAGCAAGAGATAATTTAATTCTTGGTGCCAGCTGACAAAGATTATTGTCACCTGTGTAACCTGCAGAAGTGGCTGTGGGTTAGGCCACTACCAGCAAAAGGTAGCCTCATCAGAAGTAAATTCTTTAAAGGCTGTGGAGGGCAAACTGCCCAACCTTGCAGGAAGATGTCCCTTCTCAAACACAGAGGAAACCATTTCTTCACTGCATCCTCCTGTGGCATAGTCTGCAAAGCACTGCTTTTTCTCTTTTATAGTCTGTGTGCATTCTAAATGTGGAGCACACACTTGCTTTCTCCTAGCACTGACATCCAAAAAGAAATGACCCAGGTAACCCCCCAGTAAAGAGCACACAGCACAGCTAACAAAGCCTGATGAACCATCTGTATTTCCTCTGTTTGCAGTCAGAGATTCCAGGTCCCATGGTTACTTGATGTTACCTTGTCTGCTATTGATGTAAAAGTGGTCAGTTACACCAAATACCAAACCTTGTGCTTTGTATCTTACTTCACCTTAGTGTTTATTGGGAAGAGCAGGTGTTTGGCCTGTTCAGAATATAATTATTTATTTGTAGTAAATTCTCTTTCGTAACACTCTTTCCTCATTTACTCATTCGATTTAATGAGCAAAGTCAATTGGTTTTGGATTTTATGAACATGATCTCAAGACACATGCTCAGTAATTCAGCACTTCAGTTCTGAGCAGGATGGTTTTCACTAGGTGGATCAGTTTGTGAAATGACAGCATCTGTTTGCTTGTACACATTTATTTATGACTCTTCCCCAGGTGAGTGTAGCAGGAGGCTGGAGAGTAATAACCAGCTGTTGAAATTAGCAGCAAGGGAAAGCAGTTACTTGATCTGTGAAGGAGTGTGGGAGCCAAGGCCAGAAGTAATAAAAACTAAACAGATGCCCCAAATACATAAACCTGAGTGGGGCTGTGTAAATTACTTGCTCTGCTGATGGGCAGAGCAGTGTCAGATGAGTTGACTTTGGCGTTTTCATTGACGATGAAATGTTCACCACCACTGTGTGGCATTCAGCAATCCGGAGAGCATCCTGGTGTGACCCTGGGATCTCTGCAGTGCTCGGTTGGCATGAGCCGTGGTGTGCAGGCACACGGTTCTCTCTGGTGGCTTCTGGCACTTGCCAGGACACAAAGCCCTTCCTGAGCATTTGTGTTCCCTTCCACCGGGGCTTTTGGCAGTGATGGTTTCCTAAGCAGGAGTTTACATCGTGCTCCTCAGTTACTGCAGGTACTCTTAAAAACAAATTTCTGACAACAAATGAAAAATATATGTTGTTGGTACATGACCTTCGTGTTTTGTAAAGATGAGAAACCAAGGTGAAACTATGGAAGTTTCACTGAAACTTCCCTAACATTTCGTAATGTTTTGGTGGTTGTCTGGGTATTTTATATATGGGATGTCTGTAAAAATTAGTATGTTTGAAGATATCTTGCCATTAGCTGGCATCAACTGTGTCTCTGTGGTATGTAAAGTGGGACCCTCAAACCTCTAATTATTTATACAAATGAAAGAGGGTCTGGCAGTATTTAAAATGGGCTATTAAAGAAGAGGACTCTGTAGTCATGCGAGGTGAGCATAGATCCAGAATTTCATGATGCCTTTGAGCAGAAAGCATAAAAGTTCAAAACCAACCCAGAAGATGAAGCCTATCCTGTTCAGGGCATGAGGACTGAGGTGAACCTTGCAGAGGTCCAAGGTTTGCAGCCACATTTTTAACCATGTGGTATTTTGATTGATGGTTAACGATTGCAGTTGTGAGTTGGAGGTAGTAGGTGTCAAGCTTCTGGTGTAAGTTACTCTGATTACTTAATAAGCAAGGATGGAATCAACTTTAAAAAGGTATCATGGTTTGAAGGTGTATATTAAACATTTTATACGCATTTTATGTTTGTGCCCCAGTTCTAGATTCTCTGTTACAAAAGCTAGAACTTAAACTTCTGGTTGATTTTATTAGTTTGCCTACTTGAAAAGAAAGCCTTACTATAATCAAGAGTCTCGTTGGCATTAAGAGGCTGTGAATATTGTTTAGCACCCTTGTTCTCTGCAGTAGTGCTTCTGTGAGATGATGGCAGTGAGTCCCTGCCAGCTGTTAGCAGCAGCAGGATGTGTGCAGCTTCCCTGACCACTGCAGCAGAAGTGCCTGCAGTGTTAGCGGTGCCCTGTCTGCAGGGCAGGGATGAAGGGGCTGGAGGACTGCTCCTGCTTCTGTCCTGCCATGTGTGCCCTGGGGTAAGGAGGCTGTGTCTGCTTCCAGGAGTGGTTGGTTGCTACCTCCCATGAGCAATGTTCTTGTTTAATAACTCCCCCCCCCCCCCCCAAAAAAAAAGGTGGTTGTTTTGGGGGTTTTTTTTTTTTACAAGAAGTGACAATGGGAGGTGATGTGTCCCCTGGCCCTTAGGGGGGTGTAGATTGAGGGTTGCTGCAAGCGGTATCCTGGCTGAGTCTGGATTTGCATTACAGGGCATGAAAGGTTTTCCCCCTCAGGGAGAATGAAAGTATGATGAGCACATAAGATTTTTGGCTGTCTTTCCTGGGTGCTTTTTCTGTTCCTGTGAACAGGAGATGAAAAGTGATTCTGCTCA